GGGGTCGCAAAGAGTCAGGCACGACTAAGCGACTAACACTACTGCTACTACTGAACAGAGTAGGGTTGTTCATTCTGCTCTAGTCAAAAATACATACGGGCTCCAATTATCTTGCTGGTGCTGCTCGACTTCTGTTCTTCATTTTTGAAAGACATGTTTTTCTTCTGACTTCAACACTGAAGAATTAGTCCCTTTTTCCTCCTAAGTTCATTCTTCTCTCCCTCAAAGACCAAGGATGCGGTCGGGTCTTGGAGAGAAGGAGGGAGTTGTTTGAGATTAACCTGGCTTTCTGTGGCGAATGGGAGCTGTTCTTCCATTGCAGTTTCCAGGACCACCACAGTGAAGCTTCTTATGGAAAATGAGGTTGTGATGGTTCATGATTCTCTTTTCCAGGGACGCCTTACTCCCTGCCCTTTATATCGCTCCCGGTAGTGGGCTCTTCTGCAGTATCACTTCCATCTTTCTCTCTTGCTGGGCATCCTTGTTTGTTGGACAGGCACTGCACCAGCCTATTTGCTTGAATAGAATTCCAGCAGGAGGCAGTTGAGCAAAGCAGCCCAAGTTTTAATCAGAGCCCAGATCTGTACAAGGTGTTGTGTGTACCACAAAGCCTCTCTGTGGCTGATTTATACAAACTCTAAAAGGTAAATAGAAATCAGTGTAATTGGAAACTTGATCCCATTGGTGAATACCAAGAGGTAGAGAGGGCGTATGAAAAATGGGTGAAGTACTGTTATCAAAAATGGCCCTGAGAAGATAAACCACTACGGACTGCAGCAGGATCTAGAGAATCTTCATAAGGATGGACCCTGTAGCACGGTGGTCTGCAGATGGGTGGCGCTATTTTCTCCCAGAAACCTCCTACCCTTTGCTCTTCTCTTGTTAGTTTCCTTCACAGGCTGCTTTTCCCACACCTTCCTCTAAAGGCCCAGTGCTTCCAGGGCTCCACCTGGGCTCTCCCTTCTTCCCTGAGGGTCTCACCCACTTCTGTGGCTGAAACAACTACCATGTGCTACTGATGAGGGAAGTGGCTCCGAGCTCAGCCTCCTCTTCAGAGATCTTGTTCAGTTGTCCTCCCATCTGGATGGCTCAAAGGCGATGACACTCAGCTGACCTAGAGTGGCATTCACCATCTCTCTCCTCTCACCCCAGACCAGCTGCTCCCCTGTACTTTCCCACCAAACCTGACTCAGGAACTGTCTTAGGCTCCTTTCTCTCCCTCACTTCCTGTTCTTCCTTGATATTCAAGGGCTGGGGATTTATGTCTTTTCCTTCTCCACTGCCCTCCCCAGCCATCTCAGAGGGTTTGGATTTATCCCCTGACCTCCACTCCCACATTCTCCAGCTCTGCCTTGACATCAACAGCCTTCCCTGATCTCACATACGCCATCTTATTGTGCCTCTATGGCTCAGATTTCAGCAATTCCTCCATCACCCAAGCGTGGGTCAACTTTAATAGTTTCGGCATTACAAATCCCAGTCATCTGGCCCCTGCCTGTTTGTCCCACCTGGTGTCTAAGCTCTTCTCTAGCATTCACCCAAGCCTTTGCTTGGCCTGGAATGCTCTCTTGGATCTCAGCTTCGCTTATGCACTGCTCCTGCTTCCTGAGATAGCTTCCTCATTATGGTCTGCCCAGTGAGTCGAGGACTAATGCTACTGTGAAGCTACCCCTCACTCCCCAAGGCCAACCCAAATACCCATCATTCTGTGCCCATTCCCCAGAACTTTGAGTAGAGTTAGCATTTGTCCTGCAACTTTTATACATTTTTTTTTGTAAGCCTTTCTTTTTGGATTAAAAACTCCTTGATGGCAGGCACATGCCTGGCCCCTATAACAGGCATTTAGTCAACGTTGAATGAGCAGATATCAGGATGCCCACACTTGGCAAGGAAGTTAGCATATAGTAAAAGCATCTTTATCTTTCTCACACTACATAAGAGAATTCACTTGTCCATTGGCTTGTCCATCAGAAACAGCCCAGATGAAGCTAAACAACTGTGTGCCAGCCAGAGACAGGAGCCCAGGAGGCATGCATGCTTTCAATCACGTATCCACTGCTCCAGGAAACACCCCTGTTTGTCCATGTCTTCCAACCATAGCCACAGCTTTGCAGAATAAGAAAAGAAGGTCTGGGGTTAAGTTAGCTGGTTCTCAGCTTTGCACCCAGCCAGGTAGCATCTGGACCACGGGAAAGGACCCGAGCTTTTAGAGTTTGTCCCTGGCAAACATCTTAGGGAAACTAGCCTCCCAAGTCATTGGAATTCCTGGCTTCAGAGGAGTGAAATGGTCAAGGCACTCAGTTCTCTGGTTTGTTTCTCTCTTAATGGAGTTTTGTTTTAATCCCTGGCAAAGGAAGGTGCCTCACCACCAACCGGAGTCAGGGGGTGGGGTGGGGAGCAGAGGTTAGTAGGCTACGTTCTTAAGAGGTGGGATTTCCTCTTCTTTGTTCATCAGTTGACGTTGTAAGAGGAGAGGGCACATAGCACTGAGCTAGGAACTGACCCTCTAGGAGCAGGTCAGCATGCCTGCCCAAGGGACATATGGCCAAGAAGAGCTTGCATTTCCTTGGAACAAATCCAGAAATAGCTCTTTAGGAAGGTCTAACTCACCATGTTCTAAAGTTGTATAGGAACCTTTTCTAGGAAAATGATTCCCAGTGACCTATATTTTGATTAAATGACTGAGCCAGGCTCTTCATCCCTCTAACCAGGAAAATTCTAGTTGTCAAAATACTTTTCTAGAAAGAAATGAGCACTGATTGGACTGAGATTTGCCACACCGAGATTTGCACCCCACTCTCCCCGACTCTTAAAACACCATATTGTCATCTTGGCTTATAAAGCAACCAGTTTGCAACATGATTTAGTAGCTCGGGATTCTATTTGTCTTATCATCAGTAGATTTTGCACAATTAAGTTGTAGGGCATCCAGTGAAATGTAGCCCATGAAGTTGCCCCATACTCTTTTGTGACAGATTGTACCCAAGTGTGGCATTAGGTTACCCAGACTTCTTTGAATCGTGATCACTGAGTTTTCTGAACAGCTGCTTGGGGCCTTTCAAAGATGTAAACAGCAAACCTGAAACCTGATGACTAAACAGTAACATGTCGGTGGCCTAAAAGCTGAAGCTATATCTATTTGTTGCCCACTCCGTGGAAGTATTAGCATAACAGCAACAAAAACATGGAGGAGAATCAAGTCTAGTCAGAGAGCTCCAGGATATCACATGAGGGAAGCAAATGACCTGGACTCTTGATCCAACCACAGTTTGAGTTGAGGGGGATATAAGGGGTTGGTCCTATGTATCTTGGGAAGCCCTATTTCTTTACGGTTAGTGATGGTCCCAGCGGGACTCTCTACTTGTCACAGTAGAATGAAGGGCCTCGAAGCACAGAATCAGTGATTTTTTTGCCTGAAATGACTGAGCCTTTTCTTAAAATGCCATTGGATATCCAATTCTGTTTCTCCAGAAATTCCTCTTCTTTGGCCTTCATATGACTGCAAATCAAAAAGTAACCTCACCAGGCCGCCCACTTTCCCCCACTTTATCTTTTGAGTTTCAGGTGGTAATCCCATACCTACAGTCCCTAAATCTAGATTCAGTTCACCCAGGAGGCAGGGTCTGATTTCAGAGTAGGCCAGCCCTCTTCAATTAATGCCAGTTGACTACTTTAAACATTAAAAAATTAGAAGGTTCCTACTTACTTTGTAGTGTTTATGGTCTCTGTCAGTGCCTCAAAATAAAGCACTTAGCAACAGACAGTATCTTGCAATCAACATGGTTAATAATGGGTAATATTCATAGAAAACTTGAATAACGTTTTCCCAGTGCTTCAGCATGCCAGAGGACTATAAAGTCACTGTTTATTCAGCCTTCCCATTGATGGATTATTGGTCCTCATTCTACAAAAGATGATACAGTATAGGAAAAATCTGGGAATCTGGCAACCTGGCTCTGGTCCCCGTTTCACCACATACTTGCCCTGTGATCTAGATGTTATGACTTAATTCTGTCATCTGTAGAATAAGCCAGGGGTTGGGGAAGATGATTCTAGGGACTTCTCAAAGATCCTATTGCTCAAAAACCCTGACAAAAAAATATGGGCAGGTGCTTTGTTTTGGTTGTACTTAGAAAGGTAGTAATTCTCCTGTGGATTTTCAATACGGTTATTATTTAATTTTCCTAACTGTAGAATCCCAAACATGAGACTTACTTCAGATGTGCTTTGGAATTGATACTGGGTTGACATTCAAGGAGAAGGTCAAGGGCAATTTCAGATATATGGCTTAGCTTGAAGAAATGGTCAGCAACCCGCCCCCGCCCCATGCACACACTGTGTGGTAGTCTAGAGCCCAGGATGCCCTGATTCCCACTAGCGTGTAGGAAGGCAGAAGAAAGATCAGGCTAGTGACGGAGACCCCACCCATGGTCACCGTGCCTGGTTTATTTGTTTTATTTTCCCTATCACTGTGAAAGCAGTGGAAACAGCGTATGGGGATCTGCATTAAACCTAGAAAGAAATTATCTTGAGGATGAAGATCATCGTATGTAGTTGAACATTCTAAGTCAGTTCTTTCTAAACCAACAGTGAAGTAGTCTGACTAAAGCAGTGAATCCTTGCCACCTGGGGGGTTATGAACCCCTCTGAGAATCCTATAGAAGCTGTGGATGACCCTCTGCCCAGAAAACCACCTGCATACTCACAAATTGGAATGTAATTTTAAAGAGTTGCTGTGTGCTCTGAAGCCCAGGGGCCCCCGGGTATAAAACAAAGTAAGAGAGCCCAACAGTGGGAATATCAGAACTAGACCAAGCCTTCTAAGTTGGTAATTTGCTGCCAAAATGAAACAGTGAGTAACGTAAAGATGATTTTTTTTTTTCCCTTTTCTTTTCTCTGACCACCATCTCCTTTCCTTTTCTCTCTTCCCACATCTCTGGTCATCTCCTCTCTTTCCCTCTCAATTTCTCTCCCCATGTCCTGCACATCGTGCACCACAGATGTTCCAGCCTGGTTAAAAAGCCTCCGCCTGCACAAGTATGCCGCGCTCTTCTCCCAGATGACCTATGAGGAGATGATGGCCCTCACTGAGTGCCAGCTGGAGGCTCAGGTACGTACCCGGGAAGGTGCCCCAGGGGGAACCTTGCATTCAAAGTTCAAGGCAGACCTTGTCTGGACCCACACCTCTACCCACCTAGTAGCTTGCCTTGTTTTAGGAACTGCCAGGTGCGGGCCAGCATCACATGGTAAGGCTGGGTTCTTGCCTTCGGGGTCCAGTACAAGATGGAAGACAAATGGGTAACCACAGGACAAGTGAGATTGAGAAAGAGTGTTATGAAAAAAATAATAATAACCTAGGTGTACACTCCTAGGGTGTCAGGGAGGAATCAGAAGAAACAGCATTGACCAAGACCTCCAAGAATCTGTGTCCCTGCTTTTGTTTTCCTTGCCCACCCCCTCTGTCTGCTTGGCCAGTGCTGATTTGGAGGATGACAGATTGGTTGTGAATTTTTCAATCTGGTTACAAATCAGCTAACTTCCAGTAGTTAGGAAGCAGAAGCACCAGGTACTGACTCAGACCTTCTCCAGAAGTTGCTCAAAAACATTCAGACTGATCTTAATTCGAACGGAGAGCGTTGTACAAAATATTTTCTAACCACACTGAATAACATTACCCCAGGTCTCAGATGCCAGTCCCCTGCTGTGTGCCATAAAAGGGCAAGTTCCTCCTTCCTTCTGTGGATGCAGAAGGCCAGGCCAGTCAACAGAACCCCTGAAACTAAGCATGTTTCCTACCCTGCTGTGCTTGAGCAAATAGATCTGACCAATGTCTTTGTTCCCCTTGTTTAAAATGCTATTTGCATTTTCAGCTTGACCTCAGTTTCCTTTGAGTGGTGATTTGAGAGAATTAATGGTCTGAACGGGCTAATAGTATTTCCCCTGCAGGAAGAGGAGATTGTACCAGTTGGGGCATGGCTGGTCTGGATGCAGACCTCCCAGCAGATCCTGAATTCCCATTGCATATTCAGTACCCGCAGTTAACCTTTGCAGGCCTGGCTGAATACCAGTATTGAGATGTAAGACAAAGCCCGAAGTCACTGCACATTCTCAGAGAATGAAAAGCCCTAATTTCAACTTCCTAAGGCTTCTCCCACTGCTTTTTATCTCGATCGCTCCTTGAGATCCTCAGGATTGATGAGAACTGCTTCTAAGAGCATTTTTGTGTTTGGGTCAAAGTTGAGAAAAAGAAAGTTCAGTCATCACTTGGTCAACTTGAGGGAAAAAACAAGAAATAATTGACACAGAGGGCAAAACCCAAGGCCAGCACAAACTTTTCAGAGTAAAAATTCACGTGAACCAAAAGTCAAGGCTAAATAGTAATATGCTCCCAGTATTTCATCTTAAAGATGGATTTAGATGTCACTAGAGTCTTAATTTTCCTCGGTAAAGGCAACACCCCTGGTGTTTTCATCTTTTCCACCTTTAAGGGAAATTTTATGAATCTTTGCAGAAAGTCATCAGAAGTTTATATTACAGGTCTGATTTGAGAAAGAACCTTCCATTTGGAAATCTTTGGTCTTTCTAGTCAACAGATGTTTAACTGAATCCTAGGGCTCTTCGCTGCTACAGTTTATTAAGATAAAATCCATAATCCTAACTGTGAATCCCAATCTTCTACCTGAAGTGCTGACTGCATTATTACAGGTTTAAGTTCTTCTCTATTCTGATTTTCCTTGTGGAGACTTAGGAGGGCCTACAGACTGATAAAAACCAGCCTATGTTGTCTGACACCGGGTGAGAACTGAACTGGATTTCATATCTCCTCAAGATGGGTAAACATAGAAAAGCTTTGAGAAAGCAATGCATATCTCTGTATGGGATTGGAACCTTCAGGGAAACTGGTAGGGACCGAAACGATAAAACCTGGACACAAGGAAAGAATGTATGACTTAAAAATGATGTTTTAAGACTATGAAGAAATTTCATGCTGGGTGGGATAATTGGCTGTTTCTTGCTCTCCTAAAGGTCACAGGGAAAAGACACAAGCACATGTGTGGTCAGGAGGAGTTAAAATATTTAGTAAGAAGAGGTTGATGATAATGGATATTGAGGAGTTACAACATTTAGTAAGAGGTTGATGGCAGTGGATGTTGAAGAGAGAGATGAATGGCTATTTACTAACCTGCACACACGCAGGAACCAAGAAGACAGTAATGTACTAAATAGCTTCCAAGAATCTCTTAAGTTGATGCCTAAAAATATGTTTTTAAATCTAACTTTTACTTCATTACAGAATGTTACCAAAGGCGCAAGACACAAAATTGTCATCAGTATTCAGAAGCTCAAAGAGAGACAAAATCTCCTTAAGTCTTTGGAAAGGGTAAGTTATCACCAGGTGATGGACCATTTCTACCTTCATGGTGGGAAAATGGATCAAGGGAAATTATATTCTCAGTTGAAAGTGTCATCGGCAGGCCTTACAGAGAGCAATAGGTTGTTTCCTTACCAAAGTCAGAAAAAAATGAAATGATTTTGAAGTTTATCCCCTGGTTATACACGCTTCTATGGAAACTGACCACTTAAGTGTACTTAAGCCTTGGGTCCAGGCATCTCAAGACTGGCCCTCCCATAGCTCTCAGGAAATGTTTTACATACATTCATTTCTGCCTTTTATACATCTGTAGAGATTAAGGGGGTGTTCAGCCCACAATCAGAGGCTGAAATTTTGACGCATCAGTGGGAAACAAATAGATGTGCCTCAGTCCTTCTGTCCACCCAGGAAAGGATCTGACTTTGAGAAAAGCTGCCCACAGCATGGCAAACACCCACAGGTTAACCCCCGGCTTCCACAGAGAGATCACAGTTTTTTGGTGGATGGGCGTATTAGACTCTCCAGAGAATGTGGACGTAGTAGACTCTCCAGAGAATGATTTCAGACATTAACTTACCAGAATGGGTCCCTGTGACTCTGAAAGGAACTGTCTCCAAAATGCAAAATGCTGAAAAAGAGTTTATTCCACTGTTAAAAGCAGTTCATCTGCTGTTACCATCTCTTTTTGTTTGCTGCCTAAGTATGTTTTCTTCTCGCCTTTGTATCTGGATGTCAGCCTAGTGTGGATGTCATTTTTAGGACATGGTGGCTTTATGACTCCATCTAAGGTCCAAAAGCTACCCACTGCAGTATTCTTGTCTGGAGAATTCCATGTACAGAGGAGGCTGGCAGGCTACAGTCCATGGGGTCACAAAGAGTCGGACATGACTGAGCGACTTTTTTTTTTTTTTAAGGTCCAAAAAAGAACAGACCTTGTAAGCTGGTGCTGCCACAGCCCCGATGGGGAGATCCTTGTGCATTGATGTTGGGAGTGGTGGGTGGGAAGGTGTTTGCTGCTTGCAGAGCTTGAGTTTTAACCCCTTCTAGAAATCCCAGGGTACCTTTGAAAGGGATCAAAGTACTAAAGCAGGTGAGGCTAAAGCAAATTTTGTGAGCACATAAACATTGCAGTGTGGTAGAAAATTTTTAACTTATTCACAAAGATCTGTGTGTGTATAATTTTACATACAACATATAAAATTATGCTTAATGAATATTAATGAATAATTAGTCGCTCAGTCATGTCCAACTCTTTGAGACTCCATGGACTGTAGCCTCTGTCCGTGGGATTCTCCAGGCAAAAATACTGGAGTGGATTGCCATTCTCTTCTCCAGGGGATCTTCCCAACCCAGGGATCGATCCCCGGTCTCCTGCGTTGCGGGCAGATTCTTTACTATCTGGGCCACCAGGGAAGCCCAATGAATATCATATAAAATATAAATTAATATATAGTTTATTTGCTATATTACTAAAATATAGTAATATATAGAATATGCATCTGTAACTTTATAAGGAAGGTGGCTTTTAAAACCTCTGGATGGATAGACAGAGGCTACTTATGGGTACTTCCATGATGAAAGACCTGTTCTTAATTATAGTGAATCACAAATGACAAGTAACCTGTCCAACTGAACCTGAAGTTACTGTTGTTGTTCTTAATTTTATGCCAACTCCTTTACCAAGCCATTCATCTAACAGAGTGATTATTGCCGTTTCTATATAACTTCTCTTTTGGGAAATATTCAATAGGCCAATTTTCTCCTTATCTGTTAAAAAGCACAGAAAACATTTTGCAGAAGGATTTGATTGCTAAGATTATGGTTAAAGAGCGATGTTTTCTGCTCTTATTTCTGGAGCTTCCTTCAAGAACTCATTCATATCCTCTGTCACTGAGGGTCATGCACCCACCTGGGAGACAGAGATGGTGCCGCTGTCGGCTCCACCTCTTGCAGTGCTGGGCCGAACCAGCACATGGAAACTCAAGGGCAGCAAGGTGGTTTGGGTGGCCCTCATATGCCACTGACTTTCTCTCTAGCCTTTGATAATTCGGTGACACTATGTCTTATCTTTCACACCTAGAATAATATTGACTCCACACACACAAAAAAGCTTTCTCCCTGGACCACTGGATTGGGCATGTTAAAAAAGATGACAAATGTGACACAGAATCTGAAAGATCTACTGGCCAAGAGGAAAGCATGATGAGTTTATTTGGTGTGACTTCTCTGAGGAGGAAAGTGGTGGACCATCATTTCGGGCTTGCCTGAGAACGCCTGAGTTTAGACACTTGTGAGCTTGTCCCGTTAGGAGCTGATGGCCTGGGGGTGGGAGTGAACTTCAGTGTCCACTGGGGACTCAGCCTCAGCTCTGTTCCCTCTTCTCTGGAACCCGCACCTCTCCTGCCCTGCTGGGAGAAGGCTGTGGGTAGCCTGTTCCCACAGAGGCCGCCAGCGACAGGCTCCCATCCACCATTTCTCTGGCATTCCCAGACCCTCAACTGACTGTGCTGTTGGAAGCGGTGTCATCATATTCTTGCTTCCGGTGGCATTCTTATGTCACACAGAGATTTCTAGGGAGATGGCTGGGGCCCCGCCCGTGGCTAGCTCATAATCAGCAGCCGCTGCAGATAAGCTCTAGGTCCAGAGCACTTCCACTCAGCTACTGAACACTTTACTAGGCAGCTGCCTTGGACTCGATTTCCCCTCCGTACTCACTGGAGGCAAACTGTGAGGAATTCGAAGTCCCCGCCCCCGGAGAGCTGGGGACACGAGGTGCCACAGACAGACGTATGGCGGTCCTGTCCCAGCCCAGAGTGATCAGCGCCATCACTGAGGCTGGTGGGGGCGTCTTCCTGGGATGAAACAGAGAACTCCACTGCGGTGAGGACAGAGGGCAGAGGGGCATCAGTGCCGGCGGGGGGCTGGGGGAGAGCAGGCCCTGAGCCGGGGGGTTGTTGGGGGGACACGACTGTGGAGAGGAAGAATAAGAGAGTCACTTAGCAGGAGTCTGGGCATTGGCAGGAGGTGCAGGCTTGGGTGTCGTACCATTTGGGAAGCAAAAATAAAGGAGAAGTTACTCATGTGAAAGGACTTCCCTTGTGGCTCAGACGGTAAATCGTCTGCCTACAACATGGGAGACCCGGGTTCGATCCCTGGGTCGGGAAGGTCCCCTGGAGAAGGACATGACAACCCACTCCAGTACTCTTGCCTGGAAAATCCCATAGACAGAGGAGACTGGTGGTCTACAGTCCATAGGGTCACAAAATCGGACACGACTGAGAGACCACTTCACTGATGGAAAAGAAATGGAGTTGAGTTTGATGAGTGGCGTCTGCAATACCTGAGGACACCCCGCTGGTGTAGCAAGTCAGTGGCCCAGAGAACAGGTCTAGAGTCCACAAGGGTTTGAAAGACTCAGTTATGGGTCGTTTCTGTGTAAATGGTCAGAATTGTGTGATGAGTGATAAGAGCTGAGGATGGACCCTGGATGGGGAGCGCCAGAGGACATGGAGGGACCAAACAGTGACAGACCCCGCAGGCTGGGAGGGTTAAGGACGGACTGTCCCATCAGGGGCCATGAACATGTCACACCTAATGAGGACTGAACACTGCTCCCCGGAACAGGCCACCAGCAGCTCCCTGGTAGCCCTGATGCAAAAGGGTTTCAGGGAGATGGCAGGGGAAGCAGGAACCCAAGAACTGGGGAGTGCAAATGGTACTGGGGCCATGGGGTGAGGCAGTGCAGACTTCTCAAGATGTTTGGTGGGAAAGGTAAGATTAGAACCATCACTGGGGCAGATTTTTTTATCTTTAATAGTGAAAATGTTTCCATGTGCTTTCCAGTTCAGTTCAGTTCAGCTGCTCAGTCGTGTCTGACTCTTTGCGACCCCATGGACCGCAGCGCGCCAGACTTCCCTGGCCATCACCAACTCCCGGAGTTTACTCAAACTCATGTACATTGAGTCGGTGATGCCATCCAACCATCTCATCCTCTGTTGTCCCCTTCTCCTCCTGTCCTCAATCTTTCCCAGCATCAGGTCTTTTCAAATGAGTCAGCTCTTCACATCAGGTGGCCAAAGTATTGGAGCTACAGCTTCAGCATCATTCCTTCCAATGAATATTCAGGACTGATTTCCTTTAGGATGGACTGGTTTGATCTCCTTGCCGTCCAAGGGACTCTCAGAGTCTTCTCCAACACCACAGTTCAAAAGCATCAGTTCTTCAGCACTCAGCTTTCTTTATTCTCCAACTCTCACATCCATGTGCTTTTATTTACTGTCTTTTTTCAGTTGACTCCCAAACTGTGAAACTGACCATTCTCTGAGCTTGGGAACCTGGCTTGGAGAAAGGAGACACACACACACTTCTGTGTTCCCGCCACCCCCGCCACCCCATTGTGACAGCATCCTCATAATGTATGAGTCCATCCCGGGAGTCATAAGCATCTTAGGGTGAGGATTCTGTCATCCTTTTCAGCCCCCCAGTGTCTGACAGTGCCCAGCCCATAGAGAGGTTGGAGTTAAGTAGACACAGGAGTGCTGTCTGCTGGGTGAGAGGTCTAGTCCGTCTCACACAGAGAGAAGGATGGGGCAACAGGATGCTGCATAAGTGCTGGGCATGCCACCAGCTGCCATTTTCCAGATGATTTGTACCCTGTGACTGTTACAAGCCCCGAAAGAGGCTCTGACCCAGTCCTCTTCCAAGACCTAAAAAAGCCAGGCCAGGAAGCCTGGGACAGTCAGGATGGAGCACCTTGCTGCTGTCGGCCCCGAGCTGCGTCTGCCTGACCGACAGCCGTGTAGGAGGGTCCAGCCTTCTCACTCCACTCTCACCTCTGTTCCGCACAGTAGTTAAAGGGCAGCTGTGCTGCTTTGTGTTCATTTCTGCTTCTTTGAATTCCTAATGCAGGGTTATATTTATGATACAAAGGATCCATAGAGACTTGGGTTGATCCCCTGTTTTTGTCAACATGGGAGTTCGTTCCCTCAGCCAGTCGAGGGCACTGGATTGAGCTAGATTCCTTCTCCACCTGGGCCCTCCAGTTCCCGAATTCGCTCTGAAGAGTCAAGAACGCAACCTGATGGTCATAGTGCGCCGCCCGGAGGCTGGCATCAGCAGAGCCACTCCTGCTGGTCATAAGCCAGGGGTTGTCTCTGAAACAAGTCTGAGACAGTGGCTTGAAGTCAAAGCAAAAGACCAAGCTAAGCATGATTCCTGATTGTGATATTTTCAGAAAGTGTACGACATTATTCACTATGTTTATGGGTTCCCTTTTTGGTGTGGGTGTCCCCAGTAGCGTCGGATAAGATTTGAACTTGGGACAAGGATACCTGCCGTGTTTGAAGGAGTTCAGCTCTTAGCAGAACCTCGATCTCCTCCCCCAGCACCGAGTAACTGCAGAAGCCTTCATAACACGTGTCCAGAGCAGACAAGGTCGGTAGCAGTTGACAGAGTCAACAGGCACCCATCTGCTCTTCTCAGCGGTACTGCCACATGGGATGGCACAGCAGGGGTGTGTGTGGTCACCCAGAGGAGCCTGCCAGCTCTGGCTGCCCAGCCCCCTCCCAAGAAGAAGCCTCACCCCTTCTCTCTCATCTCCCTTCCCCTCCCCAGTCAGGGCTGGACAAGGAGGTCAGACCCCTCACCCCCCAGGTGCTGGCAGGAGCTGGAGGACCTCGAGGCAGGGGTCGTCTGGTTGGCACTTAGTTTGATCAGAAAAGGCAGCAGGGACGCTCTTGGTCTGGGTTGGCTAGCTTGCCTCCACGGGTCCTGCCCTGATACCATGTCCGAAGTCAAGGGACCAGTCACGTGACAGCATCAGACTCTGCAAAGGGCCGGTCCAGCCCAGCATCAGGAAAACTCAGGCTGACCAGGAGTATCCCGACTTAGGCATTGAGCTGGCGGGCACGGACTGCAGGCAGGTCTTACCATGGCCCTGTCTGCCAGGTTGAGAAGGAAGAGTGTAGACTCTGCAAAATGCACTTCTTTAAAAGGAAAATGGATTCTCTCCCCTAAAATAGACTGGAGAGTGGCCCTGGCCAGGTTTGAGACAATTCTGGTGGCTACTTAGCATTTCAGTTCCCTCAGAATCCTGGGGTGCCAACTAGGCCGAGGCACAATTCAGGCTCTGCTTCCAACCCCCCCACACAAAGCAAGTTCCCGCCAGGAACCGGGCGGGCTGTCGGTGTTTTGCTGCCCAGAATTGAAACAGGCCTGCGTCCTCAGATTTCCTCTTTCTAACTGATTGATGGGAGATCTGGGTGCAGAAATGATCGTGTCCCATCAGCTTGTGTTGCTTGACATCATCGAGCAATTTTTCTTGATAAGAGAGGATCCCAGGAACGGGCTGGTACTCATGCTTTAGGCTTTTAAAATTATGTTCTTGCTCTTCTGGGCTCTCAGAAGATTAAATACTTCATTAGTAATCAGGGCCCTGATTGTCAAGGTCCTTCCTGGGTCCTAGGGAGAGGTTTGCTGCATAAGCACTGGGTGGCACTGTGGCAGAGAGCAGAGCCCACCGCCTATACCAGGGAGACCCCCAGCCCTTGACTTCCATCCCCAAGCATCTGAGCCTGTTCTGCACTTCTGTGAGCATCTGACAGATATCTATCAGAATCAACTTTCACTGCTTTCTCCAATAAATAATGCCCAGGATATCAAACTGTATGTGTAGAAGGATTCAATTTCATTATATAAAGCCATGGATGTATTACATACAATTATATACATTATAGGCATACCTCATTTTATTACACTTCACATACTGCCTTTTTTTTTTTTTTAACAAATCGGTTTGTGGCAGCCTTGAGTTTAACAAGCCTTTTGACCCCATTTTCCAAACAGCATTTGCTCACTTCATGTCTCTTTGTCACATTTTGGTAATTCTCATCATATTTCAAACATTCTCATTATTATGATATTTGGTATGGCGATCTGTGATTAGTGATATTTGATGTTACTATTGTGAAAAGATTATAACTCGTTGAAGACTCAGATCATGACTAGCAGTATTTAGCAATGAAACATTTTTTAATTAAGGTATGTGCACTGGTTTTTCTAGACATAATGCTTTGACACACTATGACTATATGTGCTGTGTGCTAAGTTGCTTCAGTCGTGTCTGACTCTTTGCGACCCTGTGGACCGTAGCCCACCAGGCTCCTCTGTCCATGGGATTCTCCAGGCAAGAATACTGGAGGGGGTTGCCATGCCCTCCTCCAGGGGATCTTCCTGACCCAGGGATTGAACCTGCGACTCTTAAAGTCTCCTGCATTGGCAGGTGGGTTCTTTCCCACTAGCAACACCTGGGAAGCCTAATAGACTATATAGTGTAGTGTAAACATAACTTTTATAGGTACCGGGAAACCAAAAAATTTGAGTGATACTTTATGTCGTGATCTGGAACCAAACTTGCAATATCTCCAAGGTCTGCCTCTATAGTATATATTCAATATGTATATATATGTTTGTGTGTTTGTGTAAAATACTTATTTTTCTCTAGAATGATCCTTCTAAAACATGTCACTCCCCTGCTCAGAACCTTCCCTGACTTCTCGTCTCATGTAGAAGACTTTCTTGCAGCCCTGCCCCAGCCTGCTGACTCCTCTGCACTCAGGCCCTGTGGCTCCTTGGACTTCACACCCCACCCCTTCCCTTGCCCTCTCTGCTCCAGCTCAGGCCTCGGTGCTGGTCCTCACATGCTCCCGGCTCCCACCTCAGTGCCTTGGCCCCCGCTGTGCCCTCTGCCTGGAGCACTCTTTCCCAGGAACCTGCCACCCATGCTCCGTTGGATTCCGCTCCAGTGTTACCCCTTCACAGAGCCTCCCCTCCCAGAACCCCCGCCCTGCTTCCCAGTCTCCAGCATGATGAATATTCATCTCCTGGTAGGATGTAAACTCCCCGAGGGAACCTTAACAGCTTTCCCACCTTGTCCCCATCCCCCCACACCAACTAGCTCAGGGCACAGCAGGTCAGAGCACCCAAAACATAAACTTAACAAAGAACCACATAACATAGGAACCTGTAGCTTTACAAATATTAACCTCACCACAACCACCAATGAAACAAGTACTACAGTAATCTTCATTTTATACACCGGGAAACTGCAGCACAGAGAAGTTAAGTCATTTACCCAAGGGCACACAGCTGTATCAGACCCGGGCGTCTGTCTTAGCGTCTGTGCTTCGATATGCCTGTGTTGCCTCTGTCATGGGCTGAATGAAAGTGTGAATGAGCAGGATCCTTCATCTGAAACAAATCATACGACAGGAAACCACCATGTGACGCTGTATAATTTTGTTATGTAGCTTCTAAAGTGTGTGATGTAAACTATATCAAATGCACTTTAAAGAAAGGCACAGAGGATGCCAGGGGAGGAAATATACCAAAATCATTTTAGTCATCATCTTAGTGGGATTTTAAAGTGATTATATTTTCTCATTTTACATGTATGTATTTTCCAATTTTTCTACCTGGGCTAATATTGAATGATTTAATTTTTAAACATTTATTTATTTGGCTGCATCTGGTCTTAGTTGCAACACTTGGGATCCTTGTTGCGTTATGCAGGATCTTTGATTTTGGCACATGTACTCTCTAACTGTGGCTCACGGGCTCAGCAGTTGCTTGAGAGAGCTAAGTTGCTCTGCGGCATGTGGAATCTTAGCTCTAGACCAGGGATCAAACCCATGCCCCCTGCGTTGCAAGGCAGATTCTTAACCACTGGACCACCAGGGAGGTCCCCAGAATGATTATATTGTAAACCGTCCCATCTTCCAAAGAACATTCTAATGAAAGTGTCAGCAGCCACTAGCCCCATCTGGGAATAGCTCCAGGCAGAGGCGGGGAGGCATGGAGGTGGGTCACCCCAGTTCCCGACCCTAACAGAGGTCTTCTCCCTTTGACCCTCCAGGACATCATTGAGGGGGGCAACCTGCGCCTCCCCCTCCAGGAGCTGCACCAAATGATCCTGACCCCCATCAAGGCGTACAGCTCACCGAGCACCACCCCAGAGGCTCGCCGCCGGGAGCCCCAGGCCCCACACCCTTCTTCACTGATGGGCCCCGAGAGCCAGAGCCCAGACTGCAAAGACAGTGCCACGGCCGCGGGAGCCTCGGCCACCGCTTCGGCCGGGGCCAGTGGCGGGCTCCAGCCGCACCAGCTGAGCAGCTGTGACGGGGAGCTGGCTGTCACCCCGCTGCCGGAGGGGGATCTCCCCGGGCAGTTCACACGTGTCATGGGGAAAGGTAAAGCCCAGTCTTCCCACCTGGCCTTTTCTCTTCTCAACACCCGTGACCAGAGCTACCCATTCCCATGGGCTTCCCCTGGATATGGGGTGAACTGCCAAAGTCCATGTCATTAGCCCATTCTACAGATGGGGAAAGTGCAGTCTAGAGAGGGAAAGGTATTTGGATCTGGATTCCAAGCTCTCTGACGAACCACCCCCCCCAAGGCCTCTTCCTTCACCCTGGCTCCCATCTCTCCCCTTCCCTCAGATCAGGGCCCGCAGGGCCCTCCTGGTGGACTGCTCACTGGGCCTTTGGACTCTCAGGCTAAAGGCAGGCTTCCTACAGACCACCCAAGGTACCACAGCCCCACTGCCTGTGCCTGTGGGGCAACACAGAATTCACACATGGTCCCTGGGTGACAGCACCCCTTCTACCCATGATTGCCCCGAGCCAGACCCTTATGCACGTATCCTTTATCGTGTCCAACACTAATCTGTGCTTGAGCAGGTGTTTCTCAAGAAATCTTGATTATTTAAAAAATGTAGTGAATGCCAGTACTTTTCCTCTGGGAAGGGGGAACAATGTGTTTTCTATTGTCCAATATTTCAGACCATTTTAAAGAACTGAGCTCTAATCAAAAGAAAGGGAACACCTGAGTCTTACATAGGTACAGTGAGAGACTCCTGGTAGTACGTGTTCTTAGAAAGACTGAGATCTGTAGAATTCTGGTTCAGAGGAGGTGACTTGTAGCATCCTTTGGAGCTGAAATGCCAGCCCCACTTCATGGTCAGCATGGGTCCCCCCCCACTCACTTTCTCAGTCTTCCCTACCCCCAAGGGGATCCTTACTGTGTGGATTAGAGTAGATGACCCCCTGCTGGAGGTACCGGTGAACTGGTTACCTGAGAATGTTGTACTTCACCCCCTTACCCATGACACGATCCATGTGGGCTCTGCATTCCTGTGGCGTGGCTGCTTTTTAAAATTTAACTGCTTTCAAATAAATTATGAAATCAAGTCACACTCAACATAAAAATCAAAGCTAGATGAAAAATGATGAAAGGTGAAAATAGCCCCCACCTCCACCCTTGGCCCTACCATATTCCTCCCCAGAGATAACCGCTATAAGCATTTGAGAATATCCCTTCAGAAACACTGTAATTATATATAAGCACATGAGCATCCTTTTTACACACAAACAGATCTTGTTTATATATCTCTCTGCAGCTTTTTTTTACATTATATGCTTTCAATATTTCTATCAATACAAAAGTACCATCTCATTCTTTTTTAAAGGCTGCATACTATTCCCCCATATGCATAAACTGTAATTTGACAGGGCCCCAATTAATGGATATAGAGGCAGTTTCCATGTTTTGTTATTACCAACAGTGTTATACTGAAAAATCTACATGCCACGGCATGGTATAAATGGGATTCTGTGACAGATCAGGTATGTGGGATGAGGGAGAGAAAGGCATCATGGTGCCCAGGTTTTAAGCATGATCCCCTTGAGAGCAAGGCATTGTTACTTCTAACTGATGTCTTTGTCCAACCATCTCCACCTGTCCTTCTAAACATTCCCATCAGAAGCAGAACACCAGGATCTTTCAGATGGGAATAGAGTGAACTACACTAGCATGGCCTCGAGCTGTCCAGGGGGTGTGTGTGTGCTGTGATTCTGTCTCTGAACTTGGGCGTGTAGGTGAACCTGTGTGTATGTAAATGTGTGGGTATCACTTTGAGAAAATCACCCTCCAGTGAATGAGTAGCAGGCTCCTTACTCATGTGCATGCCCACACACCTCACATCCTAAAAGGTGTGCCAGCCTCACTCCCCCAAATGAGATGTGCAGCTCATTCATAAAATGATGGTGCCTGCTCTGATAAGGGCTGATGGTCTTTAGGGTCTTTGAACTGCCTCTCAAAGGACGCTCTTTCAAAGACAGGGCTCAGGACGCTGCTGCGTTCTTCTTCTCCCAGAGTGTCTGTCTCGGGCTGGGTTGCAGAAGGCTTAATATAGAATGGTATGCGTGGAATTAACCAAAGGGGCTTCTGGAGGCAAGGGCTCCTGTGGTGACCAAGCCTTTGACTTCAGTGGAACGAGGAGCCTCCTGGCCTTTTTTGTGAAGCTGACGTAAAGCCACGGTCACACATACCTCTCAAAATATTGGTCCTGAAAGGAAATTGGTGGCAGATCTCAGGGGTTAGAATGGATGTGCATTTTTCTAATTCATCCTTTTTTTTTTTTTAATTCCCAGTGTGCACACAACTCTTGGTCTCCAGACCCGATGAGGAAAATATAAGTTCCTATTTACAGCTCATAGACAAATGTTTAATCCATGAGGTAAGTAGTGACAGGTTTCATGAAACTGCTTTTTCTCATTCCTTTGAAGTAGTTCTCAGAGATTCTGTGAGGTGATCATTTGAGTCTCTGACATCTTGTCTTTGGGGAGTAGACAGTCATTAATAATAGCTCGAGCAGAACTCAGCTGTGGTGACTTCAAACCTAAATGCAGCTTGTGTGTTACTCTGGTGTCCAGAGATTCACCTAGACTGAGCTCTGACATGGAGGCAAATGCCTGAGAGAAGCCTCTGACTCCAGAAGCCTCCCTGAGGGACAAAGCCTGGGGTGGACCAAGCGGGGAGAAAGGGGAGAGTGTTCAGAACAAATAATGTGTGTGTGTGTATGTGTGTGTGTTTGCGTGGTTTGAGGGCTTGCTGCTGTGTTGTGATTTCTGATTCTTATAGGATTTTTTTTTAGTTGTATTGGCGTGTAGTTGATTTACAATGTTGAGTTAGTTTCTGCTATCCAACAAAGTGAATCAGTTATACATACATATGTATAACTCCTCTTTTTTTTAGATTCTTTTCCCATATAGGCCATTGCAGAGTATTGAGTAGAGTTTCCTGTGCTGTACAGGAGGTCCTCATTAGTTATCTATTTTATATATAGTAGTGTGTATATGTCAGTCCCACTGTCCCAGTTTAACCCTTCCTCACCCTTTCCCCTTGGCAACCATAAGTTTGTTTATTACATCTGTGACTCTATTTCCCTTTTGTAAAAATAAGTTGATTTGTACTATTTTTTAAGATTCTACATATAAATGATATCATATAATGCTTGTCTTTCTCTGTTGACTTACTTCACTCAGTATGACAATCTCAGTCCTTTTGACAAAAATCACGCCTCCCAGACCCTCGGGCCAATGATGGAGCGACCCTGATGGAGCGAGGCAGGTCCTGGCCAGGGCTGTCCCAAGGGATGTGGCGGGGACAGGCAGCTATGCCTCAGACCCAGGATCCCAGTGGCTTCTTGGGTGCCCCTCCCCTGAGAGAATTACATAGGGTCATGGTTTTAGAAAACTTAGGACTGGATAAGCCTAGATCACTGAGATCTTTTTGTGGGACTTAGATGTGAAAATAAGATGGTAAAGACCTCCAAGTCCCCTGGGCTTTGCCATGCTGGTAGCTGGAACCCCAGGAGTCCAGTGGGTCCCGGGGAAGGGAGATCCACACTTCCCACATTCCAGCTGCCCACAGGCCATCTGCTGCTGGTGGCTTGTTTGGTTTTCTGCACCGTCGGCCCTGCTGTGCTGTGACTGCCTCCACCTGCCCCTGACACGCAGGTGTGTGGGCTCCCATTGGGTTTCCATCCCAGCCCCTCCTCCCCATCCCTGAAACCCTCATTTTTGCGATTTCCTCTCGCTGTGAACTCCCACTCAGCCTTTTTAGTGTCAAGTCTTGACACAGCTCTCATCTGGGCCAGCAAAAAGCCATAGAAAGAAGGGAAGGCCAGAACAGGAGATGGATTTTATAGTTCCTTCATTCCGTAGGTATTTATAAAGCATCTAGGCCTTGCCCCCGGCTGGTGGGCTTCCAGTAGGAGGGGAGTGGGTGAGACAAAAGGAAAACAGGTCATCACACGTGTGACCATAAGGCCACCAGTGTGGGGCTGGAGCCCAGGAGGTGCGGTGGGCACTTCTCTAGAGGCCAGAGGGACTGCCTCCAAACTAGACCTGAAGGACAAACAGAGCCTTAGCGGGAGAGACTTATTCCACGAGGAGACAGAACACAGAGGGGTCCAGGTGGACGGAGCAGCGCTGGAGGGGAGGAGGGCGCTTGGGGTGGGCTTAGGGGGCTACCAGTCGCCAAGCGTTTAAGCTTCTGAAAAAGCAAACCGGAACCCTGCTTCTGCCCTCACACCCACGCTCAGCATTGAGCCTGCGAGACACTGAAGGACAAGTTACCTTCCACCTCATCTCCAGTCTGCTGAGCCCAGGAGATGAAATAACGAGTCCTCCAGCTGCCTCTGCGGGGCGGTGCACAGGCGTCCTCATTGGCCCACAGCACCCACGTTGTGATCTGGTGCTGCTCACTTTCCTGCCATTGTGCACGCTCCCTCTGCACCCTGGCTCTCCTTTCCGTGTTTTCCCCTTTACTCCTTTGGAAGCCAAGCTCTAGGTCCCAAGGTGGTACTGTGTGGGCTCCTCTGTCCTGACTGCCGCAGAGGAGCCTCGCTGATGGGAATCACGGGGCAGATAGGACTCATGCCAGTCTGTTCGCCTGCTTTCGTGTCAGGACGGAGACGCCTGTGCACTGCTTTGGGGGGGGAAAATGTTGTCCAAGGCTTTGTATTAGTTGAGTTTGAGAAAGAAGAAAGGCGTTTGAATAATTTTCCACAGCCTGAGGGTATTCTGTGTGCAGAGCCCACCCTCCCCGGAAGGCCCTGTCCAGGCACAGCCTCCATCCTCGCTGAAGAATCCCCTGGGCTCCGGGAGACTGGGCTCCTTGCACAGCCCCATCGGGCTGTTCTTCGGCTGCTGAAAGGGAGGGTGCTGACCAAGCCAAGACACCTTCCTTCCTCCCCAGGGACAAAGGAGCCACTCCCCAGAACAATAAAAGGAAGGCCAAGAAAGTTCTGAATCTTATTTCTGAAGTCCATCACTTCATCTCCTGGATTACAAGCCCAGGCTTCTTAGCTCCTCACCGTCTTAGACGGACAGTTCCCTGAAGATGAGCCCTTGTCCCCTTCATGAGCCTTGTTATCCAGCCACGGCAGCTGTAGGACACATCTGTCTCCACACAGACGTCTGAGCCAGGGCCTGAGAGGAGCAGAAGACTCAGAAGTGGCTGGCTGGCTGTGTGTGGGCATTCGGGAGAGTGTAATCTTCCTTCCCCTCCAGCCCCAAAGAAGCTCTGCCAGCCCCACCTAGAGCTGCCTGGAGTGGACTGGGGTGAAGTATTGGCCTCCCAGCCGATAGCAGAGCTCCCACAATGGAGTGCTATTTGCAGACATGCACAGGAACCAGCTTTCAGAAATCACTCCTTGCCAGCCATAGTCTAGCTCCACTCCAAGCCTCCCAGCAGTGTCTTCCAGGACTGAGAACAGCCACACACTCAGCACTGCTAAGGGTCCCACTCCTATCTACAGTCCCAGTTACTGTGAGTCTTGATGTCCTGGTGCTGAGTGGATGACCTGACCTCTCTGAGGGGGCGTAAACATTTCCATCTTCTTGGGTGTTCTTTGTCACCGTGGGAAATGTCACATATGAACCAGTGTCCCCAGCAGCACTTTGACTGCACATCTGTAAAGTGACCCCTTTACTCCTTTGTCACCTGGAAGCACAGGCTGGCTCCAGACCCACTCGATATTGTGGTTTTGAGACCTTCAAGTCTTTTGTTGGTGTTAAAGGTCATGGTTGAATACCAAATATGATGGACTTTCATGCGCCACCACCAAAGCGCTAGTCCATGCAGCCGAAAAACCTGGTGAGGGTGTCTGTGGACAGTACCATGTGCACTACAGTGAAGAGCTAGGTGTGTCGTGATTGTTCTCAGTGCCCTCTGTGTGTGAATTAATTTGAATCCTTACAGCAATCCCTTTGATAAGATATTACTGTCCTGAGTTAAAGGAGCTGAGTCTCAGATGGAGGAACCTGCATAAAGATGTGCAGAGATATGAGCCCTGCCCATTTGCATCCAGAGCCTCCTACTGACCACTGAGCTGGACTCTGCTCCCCAGGTCATCTTGACCTGCATGCCAGCATCTTGTGTCGTTGCTCAACACTTGGCTGACTAAGCTAGTCAAAAGCAGAATCTACCCATCCCTTTATTAGTCTAGCAGAAATGCTTGCCTTTTGCAGTTTTTGGAGATACTCATGTATAGCTGGACATTCACCTACTATCATCAGCAAATGAGAGGGACCATAGAGGAGAACCACATCCTCACCTTTTAGCCCTGAGACCACTCACCATGCACCTTAAAGGGGTATCAGCACCTTTTTCTCTAATGGGGCACTGAATGCCTGGTGGGGAAGCCCTCCTTGATGATCGTCCTCAATGGCATCTGGCCAAGGTCCCCTGGGAGGAAGGGGTTTGCAAATCGTCAGTACCTTTTCCATAATATGATTAACGTCTTTTTGCTTTTGTTCACATAGCTCTCTTGTGTTCGGGTCTTTAAAGATTAAATGTCAGTAGAAGAACATTAAGCTGTCATTCTTTTCTCTCTGTTTAAGGAATCTGCTTCCTTTATGGGAAACAGGCATGTAGTTTATTATTACTCTAAGTAATCATTTACTGCTACTTAAAAAGTATTTACTTCATGCTTTATTGACAAAACTACTTGGGTATGGTATCTCCATCACTGTTACTGCTCATTAGTCAAATCTGGTGGACTTATGACAGCACATGGACCACAGTTCTACACACTTGACAGGGAGTTCCTATATTGTGTGTGTGATCCTCACCCATCTAGAGCATTACATGGCCATGACCTACCTGCAGCAGAATTCCCTGGGCACTTGCTGCAAACACAACTCCCCTAGACTCCTCTCGAGATCTATGAAATCAGGCTCTGGTGTGTGGGAGTCGGTCCAAAATCTAGATTTTAACAGTCTCCTTGGGGGGATCCTAATATATCCTGAATTTGAGAGTCCCCGCCTTGGGGACTTACAGCCCCATGAAGTCCTTCCCTGGGCTGCACTGAGTACACGGCTGTACACAGAAGGACACATGATATTGATGGGAGAGTGTTATGTATGGGGCAGTAGACGAAACCTCCCCAAACACCAATTTTACCAGAAAAGATTTGAGAAGACATCAGATCTATCCATTTTCCTAAGCCTTAGACAAAATTTAGGTTATGATCGGTGCACTGGGGTTGTGTAGCACATGGGGCTCGTAACTGGAGATTTCTCAGTAGAGTCCTAACACGTACAGTGTATACTCTGTGTTCTGAAGCCCTGAAGACCACTCCAGGCTGAGCACACACCATCAAAAAGATTGATTTTTGGAGTGGTTTGTCATTTCCATTGATTATGAAAATGCAGGGGGCCTGCAAAAGCCAAGGTAGTCAACAATCAATTTTGCAATTCATTCTTGGTTAATAAATAGAGTCCAGAGTGGAGTCAGGGGAAAGAGGAAGGAGGGTAGGGATCTGCCAGAAATGCAACCGAAATCAAGGATTGCCAAAAGCTTAATGCATGTACCTTACCAGGCACCTCCAATGTCAGATAACTTGAATTTTCAGTACAGGAGGCTCTCAAATGAAATTGACTGCTATTTGGATCAGGTTGGAAGCAAGGTTAAGAAAAGGCAACTGTAGGACTCCAATATTTCCCCTATTAATTGCATGTTTCTCCCTCTAATGCCAGGTTGCGTCACCCATTAAAAAGTCCTGTTTGTTTTTGCAGGCATTTACAGAGACACAGAAAAAAAGATTGTTGTCATGGAAACAGCAGGTGCAGAAGCTCTTTCGGTCTTTCCCTCGGAAAACCCTTCTAGACATATCAGGATATCGACAGCAAAGAAAGTATGTTGGGATTTCAGTCTTTGTAATGCATGGTAGTTCCAGGACCTCACTGTCTGCTTGGGTTCCAGGGTCAAGACTACACAGGGCATCATTACTTGTTTCTTAGAGTGTCCTCTGACAAGTTCAGACCACATTCCTTAAACAGGTGGGGTGGGAAAAAGGCTGTAGAGGGAAAGACTTCCCAGAGGAAGAGCTGAATGTGATCTTTGGCAACTCAACTTACATGGTCAAAATGATGTTATTAGTACAGATGGGTATGGAGTGGGGAGCAGGTACAACTTAATGAGTGCCAGCAAAACACTTGGTGGTTTATCCACAACAGGGGGCTCTGAAAGGACAAAAACAGGTTGTTCTCTCTGCACCTTAACTGGTAGTGTAATTTTTTCTCCCTTCTTGCTGCAGACAAGCTAATTATAGTTGGTGGCAGGGTGAAGAGCCCAGTGTTAGTCTATTTTGGTCTGAGCTGCAATCTAAGAGTAGAGCAGTACCATTCTTGATTTTTCATAGTACTTCAGCTTCTTGGATGCAGTTTAAAAAAGCCTCGTTGTACTTTACAACCCATTACTGTAATCTGGTTTTAAATTGAAGAATCCAGTTGCATATTAAAGGTGAATTATAGTGCCAATCTAGGGGAGGAATCATGGGGAGGGGTGGAGTGAACCATTGAACAATAACAGGGCATCTTGGGGAGACAAGAGAATGATGGTGCCGACATGCTGAAAAATCAACATCCTTTTTTACTCTTTTCAACATGAGCATATAAATAATTATTTTTATCATTTGCACCTAGAAAGTTCTGAATTCATTTCTCAGTGCATATGTAGAAGCTCTGTCTGTGTTGTTAAAATGTTTGGCATTTATTTGCAGAAGTGTGCCTTGAAACATCACTGTTTTATAGTACTTCAGGGAGATAAGGCCAGTTGGAATTAAAAATTAATGTAAAAATTATGAAAAAAAATAAAAGTTAATGTAAAAATTGAAATGTTATCATATTCCAGCATATATAACACAGTTATTTATTAAACACACCAAGTGGGTATCCAAGCACTGAAGAATATTATTACATTTAATCCTTGCAACAACCATATGAGGTAGAGGGACTATTATTAACCCCAGTTTACAGGGGAGTCGGGAGACATCTAGGATTTGGACCAGACAGGTCAATGCCAGCGCCAGAGTTGGTATTCTTAAGCAGTACAGATGCTGGGCCACTTTCCTGGTCTCCAGATGATGTGCAGAAAAGCCAGATGAAACAACATTCTGTTGTTTGGTCCCAAGCCTCCCTGGAGGGTTGGGCTGGACCACCAGTGCACCTTGAGGATTCCTGGGGCCCAGATGAAAGGCCAGGCCTGCTCCTTAGCCTTCTCTCCTGGGGCTACCCCTTCCCTAGACTCTCCCTCTTCTTGTAAGGGCAGCAATATCCCCTAAGAAAGAGGAAGATCCACACCCCTCTTGCAAACCAGGTCCTTGGGAGACAAGTTCCAAGAGAAAGAAAGAATTCAGAAGTTGAAGATAAAGAGAGAGCTTTGAAGCTCTTTGCTCCTCCTCCCTAAAGTACCATCTGTTCGTCTGTCTACCCTATTTTGTCCTTGGTCCACATCTGAGTGCCTGTTAACTTTTATTTCTCTAGAGTGTTATTAACTGGTGCTTGAATTGGGTTAACTCAAGATTTGCCGGATTGGACCTCCTTATATTGATTAGAGTAAATTCAATCATTGATCATGGATGTTCAATTGGAAGTTGCTAAAGTTTGAGTTGTGGTGCTAGAGAAGATTCTTGAGAGTCCCTTGGACAGCAGAGAGATCAAACCAGCCAATCCTAAAGAAAATCAACCCTGAATATTCATTGGAAGAACTGTTTCTGTAGCTGAAGCGCCAATACGTTGATCAGCTGATGTGAAGAGCCAACTCATTGGAAAAGACCCTAGTGCTGGGAAAGATTGAGGGCAGGAGGAGAAGGGGGCAACAGAGGATGAGATGGTTAGATGGCATCGCTAACTCAGTGGACATAATTTGAGCAATCTCTGGGATTTAGTAAAGGACAGGGAAGCCTTGCATGCTGCAGTTCATGGTCTCAAAGAGTAGGACACAACTGAGCAACTCAACAACAACAAAAATTCTAGGAAATAATTTGTTTTCATAAATATTACCTCTGGGATCTTGTTATGCTATTAATTTTCTTCAAAGACTTGTTTTTCCCCATAATACAGAGGTAACTGCAGCCCAGCCCTTCCTTGAACTATCACAAATCCCAAATTAATTGGTTCTTATTAATGTTATTTTATCAGTCTTTTCATGCATTTCAAGGTAATGAAATCAGTTGGTTAGATTTAAGAAAGCAGAGAAAGATGCAGATGAGCAGAGTAAGAGAATGAGAAATGAAAACTTTTGTCACTGAGTTCTCGCTGAAGAAAAAATGATTATTTCATTAAGCCTAGTGATCTTAAGTGACTTAAGCTTTCACTCTGGTTACCAGCAGTGGCAACCCTCAAAAAGTCTGACTTTATAGTAATCAGCTTAGGACCCCACAGTGAGACCCAATGTCATTAGAAAGACACCCTAACCAAATTCTCACCTGCACGCAGTCTATCCCCAAAATGTTAGCTCTACCAGCTCCATGAGTCCTAACTTTAGGAGTCCACGTTTTCTCCTATGACTAAGCGTCCCATTACAGAAGCCTCTGCCTACATTATATTGCTTAAGAATATAGTCTTGCCTTCCTGGAAGCACAAATTATTTTAGCATCACTTGCTGACTGCTCTGTTTTGCATATGAAATAACTTTTAAAAAATCCAACCAAAAAGGAAAATGAGCAAAAAAGCTATCTGCACTAAATAAGGAAAAGTCTTAGCAGAATACTAAATCATCTACCAGGTGGCCAAAATTCTGACTCCAAAAACCAAAGGATTGGTTTCTGTAGTTTAAAAAAAAAAAACAAAAACAAAAACCAAGAAAACAGCCACTTGATCTTTGTCCCCACCTGTCACTTGTCCATTCTCCAAAGGAGGTCTCTCCATTGCATGAAATTATTTCTCCTCCTCCTGGCCCAAATTTCCTCTTTCAAACCAAACATTTTAAACCTTAGTAAAAGAAGGAAGGAAGTGGAGAAATCTGAGAAAGGATGAGATAAGAGACTGAGAACCCATGAGTATCCTCCTCACCTCATGGGGATGAGCCTCTGACTGGAATCTGGTCAGAAAAGCCTAGAAGTGGTAAAACACAGCCCAAAAGTCAGTGCTTATCAGCTCACTGTGGAATTCTCTTCCGCCTCCCCCGTCACTGGGAAATTTAGGAATTCTGAGGAAGAACCCCTTTCTGAGATGAACCATGCTGATGATTTAGGTGCTCCACCGCATCACACACATCACGCTCTCTTTCTCAGGAAATAACTGATTTGCAGTGCCCCCCACCTCCCCCGTCATAGGGTTAAACTACGTCAGCCCTGTCTTCCTGGAGTCTCCTCACGGGCTTGGTAGGAACCTCCCCTGTGTGGCTGCGAAAGCAAGTCTGTTCCATCTTGTGGCCATTGGAGGTAAAGCATTTCGACTGAGACATTAGTGAATGACTAAAGCTGACTCTTCTTGGAAAGAATGTGCTGGTTCCTGAAGCCCTGCTGGCGGCTGTGCACCCTCCCAGAACTTGAGGCCTGCCGGAGAGGACGAGTTCTTCAGCGCTGAGGTCACCGGACCAATGGGAGCGCGGTGTCTAAGCGTGAGGCCACGGGTCCCCAGCCTCCTCTCTGCGTGGACCCTGGAGAAGCATGGAACCTCCGGGTCTTTCTACAGGGAGGGCCTGAGGAGCAGGGAGCAGTCAGTGTCCTAGGTCCAGGAAGCCAGCAACCATCATCCTCTTCGTTCTCATATCCCTCCTGTGAACCCGGGAGTCAGAGCCCCACACTTGGGGTCCGCTCTGCCATTTGGAGAGGTGATCATGAGAGCAGAGACTGAGCCATTCTCTTGTTCACCCTGCCTTTACTGCCAGGAGCTGTGCCATCCAGGCATGGGACCTGCAGGATTGATGAGGACAGATGCCATCCCTTGTCCCAGGGAACTTACGTCCAAGTGGGGCCCAGAGGCCACTCTTCCTGAGTCTGCTACTCAGACCGACAGCAGACAGACCAACTGTGGTGTGCTGGAAGGGGCCTGGATCCTGGTGCTGCCCCTTTCTTGCCGTGTGGCTTCTGGGTGGACACATGGGTTCTCAGGGCCTGTGACACAGAGGAAAGCAGGCTGAAGCACACACTGGTTAACTTCTGGGCTCATATTCCAGCACTGCCCCCATATGGCTGTATGACCTTTGAGACATTATCAAGCTCTGTATTTTACTTCTCCAACTGTAAAAGGAGTGCCTACTTCATAGGGTTGTCGTGAGGATTGAAGAATCAATGTAAAAGTCCCAGGGCACTTGATATTAGCTCTCAGTTCTTAGCTACCATTTTAATCATAGAGCCCTGATCCCCCCTCCCCCCCATAATGGTTAAAGTGTGAGCGGACCCCAGGGAGGCATCCCAGGGGCTGGGAAGGGCCGGGGGTGACTGATGACCTCTGTTCTTCTCTATTGACTCTCACAGCCGCGGCTTTGGGCAGTCCAACTCCCTCCCGACAGCCAGCTCTGTGGGTGGCGGCATGGGCAGACGGAACCCACGCCAGTACCAGATCCCCTCCCGGAATGTCCCTTCCGCCCGCCTTGGCCTCTTGGGCACCAGCGGATTCGTCAGCTCTACCCAGCGCAATACTGCAGCCAACCCCACCATCATGAAGCAAGGAAGACAGGTCTGCTCCGCCCCCAGGAGGAGGGTGGGCCAGCCAAGCTCAGGGCCTGAGGCTCAGGACATCCCCCCAGATGACCCGAAGGCGAAGGGAGAAGCGCAGCGGGGCTAGGTTGAAGACAGTTGCCCCTATGCTTGTTTGTTTGCAGTTTCTCTGGGAGATAAAGCAAGGCCATGGCGGCACCTGGCACCGTGGGGATTTGTTCCAAGACCACTGTAAACTTGGGGGCCATACCCAGAGTGGCCATTAGGAAGAAATGCAAGACCTATTTCATCTTTGCCTTGATCCTCAACTTGCCCTAGCAGATCCCAGTGCCTTCCAGGTTTGGCTTCCAGAGAAGCCTGAGCATCTAAGGAGCTTTCTTAGCGTTTATACCTGAGGCAGATAACTCCTTTGACATGGTCCCAGCTGTGGTGGAAAACCCTACAGGAAGGGAGGAGACTGAGAGGCCGTCAGTCAGTCAAGGCCACGCTGCCCAGAGGTTCCCGCTGTGGGATTTAGAGCCAGCGTCAGTCCCCGGGCTCGTCACCTCAGGAGTCCCTCCCCCGCACTCGCACCCGACGCCCCCCACCCGCATAGCCCCTGCGCTGTGGGGCTCTGCGGGTGGGGGCTGGGATTAGAGGGACGCCAAGTGAGTCTGAGGTTCTGGGTTTGTCATGAGAAACTAAAGGATGACAGCTTGGTTTTAAAAAACAGGAAACCGTTCCTGGCAAGACAGGCAGGATTCACTCCCCCGGGGAAGCAGCCTAGGGTAGGAGAAAACCCCAGTCTTGACCATTGTGGGAAGCCACCAGATGGATCCAGGAGGAAACCACCGCTAGGACACCCGCGTAATAACAAACACACAAGCTGAGTTGTGCCAGCTCGTTGCCAGCCGAGAGGTTCTTTTTTCTCCTTCTCCCTTTGTAGTAAATTGTAAGAACCTCAAAGAGAAAATCAAATGAGAGCCCTGAAATAGTTTGTGCTCCTCGTTGCAGACATTTATAGAACTCCCCCCATTTCCTAGAAAAGTGATAGGAAAAGCAGAGACAACAGTAGGGATAAAAAGAGTTTTGGAGCCAGCGAGGGAGATTGGTGTCCAGATTAAGCTGAGGCTTAGAGAAGAGCCTGGGGCTGAGGGGTAGTGTTGAATAAAATGAATGGAATCTAAAGCCCCTCTCTCTAAATAAGCAGACAGATTGCGCTGGCCTAGGAGCTCTTTCCCAGAAGTTAGCAGAGAGTTCTCCCAGGGTATCTGCCTCCTGGATTCTGGCTGGTGGCCCTGCTCTCATCCCCACCCCCAGGTGTCTGGACTAATGGGTTCTGCTTCTGTGTTTTTCCCTAGAACCTTTGGTTCGCCAACCCCGGTGGCAGCAATAGCATGCCAAGCCGCACCCACAGCTCTGTCCAAAGGACCCGCTCACTGCCTGTGCACACTTCGCCACAGAATATGCTGATGTTCCAGCAGCCAGGTAGGGCCCAGCCCTCCACCCCTCGTTGTCCTGTCGGGGAGGCCAGGTCACCAAAATAGATGCCCCAGTGAACTCAAGCGGAAAGTGCTTAGCCTCGACTGCCACCTTGCATTCTTTTGAGCTTATAGAAGCCTTTCCTTTTTTAAACCATGCCTTGCCAGCATGAATAGAGGCTTGTTGGCTGGGAGCCAGCACACTGAGCCCCAGAGTTGGTTGCGATGTGACACGGGGGTATTTTGGATCCTAGTCATATTTCTAGATTGATTAACCCAGTAACATCACTGGAGGGCTTTTGGGGGAAGTTGGGAGGGGTTCCATGTGTAGTGTGTGTGTATGTGTGGTTGGTATGTACATAGGGAGATGTGTAGATAAAGAGAAAACTCCGTGGTATTGATGCTGAGAGACCTACCCCTGGTTTGGGAGTGCTTTGCACACGTGATTGCTGGTCCATCCATCTTCCCTTTAGCTGATTAAAGAGCAACCTGGTTTTCACCAGGGACCCTGAACCCAAGGCCAAGAAGCTTGGACTCCGGCTGCTCTTGGTGGGGATTGATAGGAGATTTTGAGCAGGGGGACAGGCATAGAGGAGTGAAGAGTGAGCAGGCTGGAGGGGAGGAGGGGAGGCCACCAAGGGGTGGGGAGGTGCCAGTGGCAGGAAGCCACCAAGGCTCAAGCTATGTCAGGAAAGAGAGGGACGTCGGCATGCTCCAGATGCTGATTTAAAGTTGCTTCTTGCTTCTGGAACTCCACCTATTTGCACACCCTTGTTTTAAAGCTCCTTTTCTTCCTTTTGATACTTGATATTTTTCTTCCCAGGAAGAAAATACTTGATAGAATTTGGGGGCTGTGAAGGCCTGATCCAAGGTCATTTAGTCGCAGCCTCTGCTTTCATGTAGAATTATGTATAATTTACTCCCAATAAAAGAGACTCTGGAGACAAAGTGAGACTTTGGAGACTCTGGTCCTACCATCAGCTGCAGCCTTTCCAGCTCCCTTGGGCCACGCACTGCTCCTTCATTCAGCCTGAGCCCTCCACCAAGCCACTGCGGAACTCGTTGTGGGACTTGGTATCCTTGCGGTTTGGCTCTCTTAGCTCCTTCTACTTGCACCTCCACCCTCTCTCCATCTCTTCACCCTCTGCTCCCTGAAGTTCGCCTCCAAGAACCTCCCATGCCCACCCAGGTCACAAAATATGAAGACATCTTGGGCACAAGATCTTTCACCATGAATGAATAGCTCACCCTGACCCCAACCCCAGGACGGCAGCCCAGGTACCCTGGCATAGCCGACCACTCTCCTCTGATCCTGACACACGTGTAGCCTTTTCCATTCTTTCCTACCTCTTTTTCCCTCTTTGTGGCTCTCTTCCAAGTCCTCCATCATCCTGTTTGTCCCTCATATTAATTTAACAGACCAAGCCCACTGGGAAGAGATGGGCCATCTCTGGGAGAAGAACCATTTGGGTCTGTTAATATGAATCTTTCATTTGCACTTTGTTTCCCCTCTCTGTTACACAGCAATGTTGAACAGTTGGCTTATGCACAGGTCAACTATGACCCTAAGATCGTTTCCAGTCTCTTCCCATGAAGCTTCTTATTCCCGTAGTTAAAGAAGCAAACACTACCGAACAGCTTGTAAGAAAAAGTGACTATCCCCCTGACCTCCCTTCCCAGCCCATAGTCCCACCTCCCAGAGGCAGCACTTAACAACTGATTTCAGTTTTCCTGGTAGTTCCCTGCAAGTCTCTCAATAATGTTGTTTACATGCTGCCGGACTCAGAGCTCTGGAACCCTTGGGTTATTGTTGTTGTTGTTTTAATCAGCCTCTCACCAAAGCATGACAAACCCACTTCCAGCAAGGCCTTGATGAACCACAGCATTTCTAGTAACTATGGCATAAGGACAGGGCTGCTGCACATTTCCTGATTGTAAATACAAGTGGTGCAGTAGTAAAGAACCTGCCTGCCAATGCAAGAGATGTAAGAGACATGGCTTCAATCCCTGGGTCAGGAAGATCCCTTGAAGCAGGAAATGGCAACCCGCTCCAGTATTCTTGCCTAGAAAAACCCCATGGACAGAGGAGCCTGGTGAGCTACAGTCCATGGATTCATCTGAGCACAACAGCAGCAGCAGCAGCAGGAGCCACTCCTAAGTCCTGCCCAGCACCCTTGGCCCATGTGAGGTGGCTCTTCCTGAGACATGACACTGAAGGGTGAGGCAGGACACTGTTGTGAAGGGAAAAGAGGCTGCAGAAAGTTCCCTCCTCCTCTCCAGGCACAGAATGTTCATCCTCAGCCTTTGCGTCTAGGATCTAGGGGTCAGGGGCTGGGACTAGACCATAAGCATTAGTGCATTCCAAGGAAGTTTTTTTGATTCTGTGAACTTAATCCCATCAAGATGATGCAATGTCTCCAAAGAATAAAAAAGACTGGGATCTAGAACCAGCCTCAATATTGTATGTCAACTCATTAGTCACCTTGCTTGATCTTCAGGACGCTTCCTTCTTTCCTGCGGAATCTGTGGACCCCTTAGAGGCCAGGGTAGGGGTGATTCTTCACTTCACTCTGCTGTGGACAGATTTGAGATGTTTCCCCGGACAGGCCAGGAGAGCCATCAATAATCGTGGCCCCTTGCTGGCCTCTGGGATGAGTAAGAAAGATGAAGCTGGTCCCCCTCAGAGTGAGGGCTGATACCATCACTAGAAGGGTGACGAGCTCACAACCAATGTGGTGCCTGGCCAGAGGGGTCATGTTCCTCCCAGAGGCAGGGTGTTTTCCCAACTGGAAAAATAGTTTGGAGACTGCTCACAGAAATGACATCATATCTTGGGAGCAGATCCTGCTGACTGGGGCTCCGCCACTCTTGGGATCAGAAAGTATCTCCGAGGAACGTGGGCGTGACACTAGGAGGCCATGAGGCTCTTCACCGCCTGGAGAGCCTGACAGGATGGGGCAGGGGGGCCAGAAGCTGAGGAGAAGCACCAGAAGGGTAGACTGGGCGGCCTCCCTGAGCACCTCGTCCTTCCCCTGCACAAAGCCACGTGCAGACGACCTTTGGTACTAGATCACCCAGATGTGAGGCAGTGCTTTACATGGTGGCATTGCACGATGTGAGGTTACCTGCTCCGCATCGCAAGCCGCCCTTGTGCAGCGGCTCACGATTGAAATCCTGCCATTAGAATACCTGAGAGCACACTGCACAGAGCTGTCATTACCCCTTTCCTTGTGAGTGTGAGCGAGCTCCAGGTTCCTTCCGGAGAACTGCCTTTAGTGAGACCAGGAAAGAGAGATTCATCAGTATACTAGCTCCACAGAGGATGGAAGGCGCTGCCCCGCGGAGACAGAGGCCCGAACAGGGACCTGCTTGAAGTACCTGATCCACGCTGGCTCCTTCCCTTCCAGTGAGCCCTGCTCAGGATGGGCAGATGATGGGCAGGGAGGCTGTCACGTGCATCACTTCTGTCACCACCAAGACCCCAGCGGGGTCCGTGCCCCCCACGTCTGACAGTCAAATTCAGAGAGAGCGACTCAGGGTGAGATGATGCAATGCCATCTTGTCCCATGTTCTCCTCGTCAATTTTCATGGAAGCGAGGGTCCTGGGGGATTTCCCCAGTGCTTAGTCTCACAAGTCTATGAGTGAGGCCCCCCGAGAAGCACTGCATTATCCACAGCAGACTCGGGCTGCAGCTGGCTCCCATGTCTCTCCACCACCCAAGCAGGTGTGGGGTTCTCTTTTCCTTTCAGCATCTCTCTCCCCCTTTCCTCTTGGTTCCCACCTTGCCTTCATCTCCCTTACTCCTTTCATCACAGTCAGCCAGCTCCCACTTCTGCATTCTCTGTCCCTTCCTCAACAGACTGACTTTCTTGACTTCTCGACTTCCAGCAGTGCCACTCCTCACTTAACCAGACTCGAAGCCCTCCTGGTTACTCGGCAGAGTGGCTCCAGCTGTAGTTGGCAAAGTGAGGTTCTCAAGGTGGCTCCGAGAGGGCCCCGACCTGTTTCTTATTCTAAAGTCCTGAAGACACTGGCCTCTTTTACCTCAGCTCAGGGACTCGGAGAGCACAGCAGAAGGGCATGTCGGGTACTGCAGTCATGAGCCTCAGCTGCTACGGCTGCTTCTGTCGAGGAGGAGCCATGTGAGGTCCCCGGTGGACCCTGCAGCAGCACCTTGTTCAGGCTGAGCGCTGCTTCCTTCCAGAGTCCTCTTGACCCTGGGCCTGAGCAGCAGTCCGTGTTTTTGCAGGACTTCTAAAAAGGCAAAGTTAAAAGTCCCCCTTCAGCCTCAACTCTGGGCATCCTAGAACTGGGGATCCTCAAGTACATACCCTAAACCCTGGAATGGTCTGGTGGAGAGGGGAAGAATCCCTCATTCTCAGAGATGCCACCTGAGCTAAGGAAGCAGGCCTGCTTGGGCAATCACACAGAGGGCTCCGAGTCTTATTTGTCCTCCTGAAGACTCAAAACTACATCTGCCTGGTCTCTTAACTGCTGCGGGGGCCGGGATAAACATGATGAGCCCCTAGGGTGAGCAGGAACCAGGACAAGAGTTGGCCTGTAGTTCATGTGGATCTGTGGGCAGGAGTTGCCCAGATACTTAGCCAGGGCTTTCAGAGTGCTGCCCTCTGAGCCAATCATGGCTGAGGGCTTCCAGCCTGAGATAGAAGCTGCTTTTCACCCGGCTGGTCTCCCTCTGTCTCGTATGTGCGGGGAGATGCCTCGGACCTGTTTTTATCAAGTACACAATTAAAAAGTCGCACTTAGGAAACTCTGTTGTGTGAACATATAGGCTTCTCCCAAGACTTAGAATTTTTCAGAGCCACTTCGAGACTGGTGGGGGTCATGACTCCACTCATGTCCCCGAGGGAAGATCTGGAGGATTAAAAGCGAGCATGCCAACTTTCAACCTAAAAGAGCAGCCACGAAGGTTTGGAGATTCTGGAGCAGAGAGCCCCACATTTCTCAGCCCCCTGTTTTTGGAACACGCAATCCCAGGCTTGGAAAATGGCATTTTGCTGCGTGTTGGCAAGAAATCCTGCAGCTGAAACACTTCTCTCCAAATGTCGAGCATCTTTATTTATCCAAATCTCTCCACAGTGTTTGTTTAAAGGGGAGTGCTAGAGAGTAAACTAAATTTTACAATGAGCATATGGATGGCTATAATTGCTAAGGGTTTTTTTATATATATATTTGCTAACTAGCTATATATATAATTGTGTTTCTATTTTATAGATTTCACACCCTGAAGGCTGCTAATTTTTGCATGCATATGATTTTCACATGAATGGATGAAAATACTAAAATACTCTTCCCTGGATTGTCTAATTGCCCCAACCCTACCCTGAGAGCAGGGGTGGGTGGGGCCAGGGAGACCTGTTCTCCATGGCTCCCAGCTTCCCTGGAAGCCCAGCCATCCTCTGTCTGCTCATGAATTGGCAGAGTTGTCTTTCAAACCCATGGATGCTGGAACTTGTGTCAGAAAGAACTCTCTCTGCTCTTCAGTGTTCCTCATAGTGATCCATCTTGCCAACCTTCTCTTTGAGAATTTTAAATAACAGAAACAACATCTGCCTCTGAATTAGCTGGTAATGGGGAACATAGATCGCAAAGGAGACCTAAATGTATAGCTCATCCAGGAAAACAAATACTTTGGTTTAGCCATTGGTTTCAACTTCCTCTCCCACCAAACCACCAACCTCATTTTTCATTCCTTCCCCGGCTCTGGCCCCAAGCGCCCCCTAGTGGAGACTCTTAGGAGCCAAGAAGTGGCCTGCAGTGGGGGCCTCAGGATTCTTTTCTGACTTTGCAGGCTGAAGAGCAGAGGCCCAAAGAAAGGGAAGAACTTCTCAGGGTCACATGGGAAGGCAGCGGCAGTGCTGACACTTCCCAGGCACTCAGAACACATCCCACTGCGGGGTTTTTTCTGCCCTCCCCCATGGAATTTCACAATTTTGTCTGAGTTTCACAATAGCTGTCAGTTTCCTTCTATTTCTTGCTCCATCTTTTTCATCACTCAATAGACATGTATGAGGTGTGCAGAAGGCCATGTCTGGGTATCGTGGGAGAGTCAGAGAAATCTGTAAGCATCATGGTGACAATGGTGGAAGTGTCTGCGAGGTGCTTCCAAACTAGTCAAGGATGTTCAAGACCTCCACAAGGTGGGGCCAATGGGGGCAATGCTGGTGATGAGCCCCAGCAGGATAGAGGAGGTACCCGGGCTGCCTCTCCCTTGGAGCAGGAGGGCCCAGAGCCTGGAGGGGTGGAGAGGGTCCAGACGATAGAGCTGGCTCTGTCGTTAGGATGCACAATATTGTCCTGGGCAGCGGAAAACCTTGCTTCAAAGTGCTTGGAGACCGAGAGCCTTGACAGGCACTGGCAGACATGGGGTGTGCAGGAGAACGCTGGCTCTGGAGTCAGACCCATGTGGGTTCCTGTCCCAGCTAGTGTCAGCCGGCTAGCCTTGATAAGTCACTTAGCCTCTGGGAGGCCCACTTGAGAACTGGACACCCAGCAGGGTGTTGGGCTCAGAAGACGTTCCCACCAGGCTATGGTTTTCCTTTCCTGTGCTTCATAATGAAGCAGAAATGCAGCAGGCCCAGTTCTGGGCTCAGGGAGCTGAGCCCAGTCCTGCTCTAGTGAGGCAAACACTCAGCTGGGAGGCGGCCGCAAATACACACCTAACACGTCAGGTGATGGTGACGGAGAAAAGATGGAGCAAAGGGACAGGGTGGAAAAATTCTTTTCACAGCAATGAACAGAAAGTCCTTTCCAAGGAGACAGGAGAGCCAGAGACGTGACAGCAGGCAGAGAGTGAGCTATGGGATCGTCCAGGGACCAGCATTCTGGGCAGAGGGAAGAGCAGTGCAAAGGCCCTGGGGTAGAAGAGGGTCTGGGAGGAGTGACCGAAGAAAGGGGAAGCTGTTTGAGGGCAGGGAGGTGACAAGGGCCAGGTCTGCAGGGCCTTGCAGGCTGTAGGAAGGGCTTGGCTTTTACCCCAGTGAGAAGCTGCTGGAGGGGTCTGAGCAGACTGGCAGACTGTGACTATGACAGCTATATTTAGCCACCGGTTTTCATCCAGCTGCAGTGGACTCAGGGTGTCTAACAGATTGAGAGGTCAGTTGAACCAGAGTGCAACACACTGTCCATGGCAATCCTGGCGGTCCCCCCAAATCCTCGCAGGGAGGCAGCCCTGGCGGTCCCCCCAAGTCCTTGCAGGGAGTCTCACCAAACCCTCACCTTGCAGGTGGAGCCAGCGGCAGTGCGCATACTTTCTTCTTGTTGTCAGAGCCCCTGTCACCAATGTAGGCCTTTGTCCCCTGCAGAATTCCAGCTTCCAGTGACTGAACCTGACATCAACAACAGGCTGGAGTCCCTGTGCCTCAGTATGACCGAGCACGCCCTGGGAGGTGAGTGCGTCCTCCAGGCATGGCCTGGCCTGGCACACCGGGAGAACCACTGGCCCTGAGGGCACAGGGTGGGGGAGGCAGGGGCAGGGGAGAGAGGCCGTGGGGGCTGTTGGACCCTCGTCAAGCCACACCATCCACGGCACACAATGCCGTACGCGGCGAGCCCCAGCACCCTGCTCCTGCTCCTCCTCTGGGGTTGACTCGGGGCCCTGGAGAGCACGCTGTTCCTCTTTCCCCAGCGGCCCCACCCCCCAGGGCACACTGGAGTCCCAGCCCCATGATTGTCCCGGCCAAATGCGGGCACCGGAGGAGTCAGGAACACAAGACGTGGCTTTTAGTGGAAACATCCCCCCACAGCATTGGATTCTTTCCTTCTCGGCACTAGATCCCCCAGTCTGGTCCAAGCATATCCCAACGTGCTCTAAAAATAGAATTTCTGAAACCAAAATCCCTGCCTGTTTTTATACCTCCCTATTCCAAATGGCTTCCACGACGCCCGGGGCCCCGAGGCGTCCTTCTGGGTCTGACAGGGACAGTCTAGTTGGATGCGTCCGTGCCGTGCGGGGCTGCAGCCCCAGAGGAGCTCCCAGAGGTGGCTGGGTCATCCCGCTGTGAGCTTGGCCTGCAGCCCTGCGTCATCACAGCAGCCCTGGGAGGCCTTCAGTGCCCTGCTGGTACTAAACGGGTGCCTTTCTCTGGCTGGACTCGCTGCCAGCCCCAGGGATGTTTGGCAGGCAGAGGAGAGATGTCCGCCCCTTCCTGCCAACCTCCGGGGAGGCTGTGAGTCACGGCAATCCAGAGAGGCCTCCTGTGACCCTTCCCGACAGCCTTCTCCAGGCTGGACTGCTCCCCCACCCCCAAGATGGGCACACGCAGAGCCACGGCGTGTGCTAGCAGGTGGCGGTGCGGAGAAAGGCTGTCATCGGCCACTGCTCCAGAGAGCTTTGTCCTCCTGGCCAGGGGTGTTTAGACTTTTAGTCTCTGCAAACGCAGTCTTATCCTGAGACCAAATATGAGGCAGATAAATGCTCTGTGTGGAGCACAAACCAGGACTGCATCCTCCTGACCTCACCCGTGCAAGGCTCTCCGAAGCCCAGAGACAGCCTCTGCTCAGCACCAGAAGGGAGCTAGCTGAAGGCCTCCCAGGGTTTCTGACCAGATGAATGGTGGGGTGCACGGCTCCCTCTGTGACCCCTCCCTGCCGGGGTCCCAGGGAACCCCATTGGCCAGCACCACACTCTCCCTTGGCCGTTCAGTTCAGATCCTAGAAGCTCTGCCGCCTGACTGGTTCACTCCGGGTACCTCTGGGGAGGGGCCACCAGCTCCTCTTCTCCAGGTAACCAGGGAGACTGGGTCAACATTCTGACAGCCCCTGAGGCGTGATGGGACACAGTCCAGAGGTCCATCCGCAGATGAACACGGACAGACAGGATTCACCGTAGCCACACGCAGGATTGTCATTCAGCCTTGAAGATCCATGAAGTGCTGTTCCATGGCTGAACCGGCATAGCGTTATGCTAATAGGTGAAAAGGCCAGACACCAAAAGCCACCCAGCATATGATTCACTTTATGCAAAGTGTTAAGAGTAGGCAAATCTACAGAGACCAAAAGTAGATGAGTGGCTGCCAGGGTTTGGAGGGAGGTGGGAATGGAGAGTGGCTGCTAATGGGTACCAGATTTCTTAGAGGGGTGACAAAAATATTCGGGAATTAGATGGTGGTGATGGTCGCAAAACCACTTGCTCAAAACCACTGAACTGTATGCTTTCAAAGGGTGAAATGTATGGTATGCAAATTATATCTCAATTATGTCCTAATGGGAAGGCCTCCAGGCCTGAGACTTCAGGCCAAACTCGGCCCGTTGCAGGCACCCAGGTGCCCTCCCACCTGATGCCTGACTGGGGCTGGCTTAGGGGGGACTCTGCTCAGTCCTACATTGCCTGTGGGAGTCAGCAAGAACTGGCCACTCCCCCAGAGCTTGATAGAGCTCACATAATTGGCACCTTGGAAGCTCTTATCAATGTGCTGAGTACTAACATCATCATCATTAGTAGCAAGAATGCCAAATACTCTTTCATAAAAGGAGGTTTTCATTGAAAAGACTTCATTTTTTTAGCCTGTTCTTTTATTTTTATAGGGAACCTCTGTGAACTGATTTTTTTTTTTTTTTTTGGCTAATGTTTTCATCTTGTTAAACTCCTAAGCCTTTTTATTGCTGTGTTTTTTTCTCAATAACCCTTTCGGCGGGGAGCCTTGTAAGCAGTTTCCTGAGCAGCAGGTGCAAATTAGGTTCAGGATGGCCTGGTTAGGTGCAGTGGCGGTGTGCCCTCCCCCTGTGACAGCACCTTTCTGCCGGCCGACCCCTGCCAGGCGCCAGGGGAGATGACCTTGCTGGGGACAGAATTTCTGCCAATGAATGAAGTCATCTTACAGGAGGACAAATGACTAGGGAGAGGAAAGCAGAGTAGTAAAATATGCTCCTCTGCGTGCATCTCATGGAAAGAGCAGAGAGGTATCCAAGTTCCTGGGACACCACATCCCAGGATGGCTATTCTAAGGCTGTTGGGCCCATCCTTTCATGATGACATCTCTGCTGTCTGTCTCCTCCAGTAACTGCTGCCCTCTCAGTGTGGATCTAAGCTACTTTTCTCTGGCCTTCTCTACCCATCTCTTCTTTTCCCTGCCATGCTCCTCCGATAGAAGCTATGAGGAAGCCCAGGGGTTGGGGAGGGGGTTGCCTCTGCCATCTTGATTTGTGAGTCTTTAAGGCTTTCAACCTGACTCTATATGGCTTGCTCCCAACTGGTAGCCCCACGTATTCAGGAGGACTCAGTGCAAGCCTGGCCATTCTCCTCCTCCCACAGAGGGGTCACATGGGCAGGAATGTCCACAGCCTCAAAAACGAGGCCCCGTTCAGCAGAACGCAGTCTATAGTGAATCAAACCATTAGGAGGAACACCCGGTCCACCCTCTGGTGCTCTGAGGTTCATGCATCACCTGATCCCCTTGTCATTTCTTCTTACCTTCTCTCCTCACTTCTTTTTGTGACTTAAAGCCCCGCTTATAGTGGGGGATATGGAGACATTGTGCAAACAGGAAAAAGGCTCCACTTTCTCAAGACACTGTTCCATCTTCTGTTCACCATAATTACAAAACCTATGATGACTGCATGTGAATGGTACCCCTTTGCGTTGTGCAGTGCATGACTTGCACCACTATAAATGCTGAGTCCGCACTTAATCAATTGGTTATTTCCCTGCAGTTGAATACCAACCGTCACCCTTGGAGGGTGAGGTACAGGGATAGCATTCCATGAAAATGCAACTTGGGGCTGGGTTAGTTGAGATTTCCTTGTTTCCAGATCCTTTCTTTTGACAACCATGAAAGGCTGGCATTAATGAGTGGATGAGTGAGGCCCAGCAAGATTGTGCACTGCACGTCTACAGATGAGGGAGTGGCCTCTACACCCTTACCTCGCCCACACACATGTGTGTGCACACATACACATGCTCACTGTACTCCCACTACTAGTTACCACGGCAGAGCCAGCACTCAAGAGGCTAAGAACTGATGCACACAGAAGGTGGGAGAGGTGATTAGTGCACACCTGGGGACCTTTAGGATTGATCATCCAAAAGTAGAGATGCTCGTAGGGCTATTTGCCCTTTAAAATCTTTAAAATCTCTCAAAAAATCATATAGAACTTAATACACACACACACACACAAAGTACAAGTAAAACTGGGGAAATCTGTAAGATGGGCAGATTACATCAACATCATATCTTGGTGGTAATATAATTTTGCAAAATGTTACCTTAGGGGCAAACCTAGAAACAGGGTGCTGTTTCTTGTGTGGATCTACAGTGATCTCACTAAAAATATGAATTAAAGAAACATTTCTCCTCCCACGTCCCTGCTAGCAAGATGCAATTCTGGCACCACCCATGAGGAGGTCAAGAGACCCTGCAGTGAGCTCAGGGCTCCTCCATATCACTTAGGTCCTCGAGTTTTCCCTAAACACTCAGTCGCACCCTCTCATACCTGAGCTCTACCTATTGCATCTGGATGCACCTCTGCTAGACGGGGCTTGTGATGCAGAGGTTTAGACCAGGACACATCTACTGACGTGGATATCAGCGAAACCAGGGAGGCATACTGCATCCCATCCTAGCTTTCAATTAGTGGTCAACTGAACTTACTGAACTTAATCATTTCTACCTGCTATGACTGATCCATGCCTCTTTCTGCTCACTGGAGAAACTCTAGCGTGGACCATTGTAGGGACCTCTTAACTGGTCCTCCCGCCACCAGCCATGCCAGAGAAGCCATTCTGAAGTCAAATCTGGTTACTACTCTACCATTTATAAATCCCCAGCTGCCTGTGTCCAAGCTCCTGTTCACAGTACAGGAGACCCTTATGGTCTGATTCTGTGGACGCTCCCATAGTCCCACGTGAAAAGGGGTTGGGTGGCCATCAGCTCCCTCTGTGGCCTTGCTCACTCATGACCTCTTCTCTCTGACAGGCATGCTCCCCACTTTCTCGGTTCCATTGATTCTCTATAACCCAGACATGACATATGCTGGGTGATCTCAGCACTCTCCCACATCCATTGGATCTTTCAGTTCCAGGTGCCAAAAAAAAAAAAAAAACAACAATCTCACTGGTGTCTCTGCCTCAGATTAGATTCTTGAGACAGAATCTGGATCAATTTGGGTCAGACAGATCCCCCTGCTCTGCTCAGTTGTGATGGGTCAAAATTACAGATCTGGCAATTATCAGATCTTTTGACAATCTACAGAATTATCAGATCTTTCTCTGTGAAACCATCCTTGACTTCCAAGAGCAACTTAAACACTCCTTCCTCCATGTTCCTGCTGTATCTGGTACATACTCCATCAGAACACCTATCCCTCATATGTCTCTGTCGATTTACATGTCTGTGTCCCATCCAGGATATATATACTTGGACTAAAGGGTGAAGATTAGGTCTTCCCAGGCTCTGTATAGCTCCTGGCAAAAAGTTCTTTTGAATGGGTGGGTGTGTGAAGAATGAACGAATGGATGGATGGATGAATTTAACCCTTATCTGTCCTCAGAGACGGGGAAGTCCAACATGCATGATGCTGGAGTTGGTGGGCATGAACGGAATTGCTTTGCTCACCTGCACCCATTTGTGTCCTGCTTTCTCTCCCAGACGGGGTTGACCGGACCTCCACAATCTAGAAGCTGAAGATGAGAGTGACTGCGCTGGCCGTGAAATCGACTGCTGCGGGTCCAGTGTTAGCCATCTTCAGGGTTGCACAGAATCCTCCAAGATACTTTGCAGCCTTTTTTCCCCCCTGGTCCCTCTCCCATTTTGATTTTGTGAGAGCGTAGGTCGTCCTTGTAAACATATCAGTAGACCTGGGATTGGTTATTTTGTCATTTGTTTCTGTCATGGGATGGCGTGGTGTGGGGCATGGGGAGGGGTCTCTAAGGGAAATATAGGACTGGGAGGAGGTGGAGGGAATGCAAGTGGCTTCCTGGATGGAAATGCGTTTGAGGGGGAGAGCACCGCTTGGAAAGAGATGAGAGATGCGGGAGGGAGGAAGACGCCCCTGCCTTGGGAGCCTTCTCAGAAGCCTACCTTCGAAGTCAGAACCCAGGAGGAAGGCATGGATGCCCGCGACCAAAACGCGAGTGACGGCGGCTCGCTCTTTTATGTCTCCTCTGGTTGGATTCCCTGAGGCCCCTGCTTGAAATCCAGCCGCAAGAAGAAGTCCACGTGGCAACTGGGGCAGCAAGGGAGAAATCCGCTCCAACAAAATTTCAGATAAACTTTGATTTGTGTATTGTTTACATAACACTTTTAAAGGGTACATAATGTGTAAAGAGTTGGGATAGAACTTTTCTTCATACCATGGTTTTGTAAAGGATTTGTTGATAGGGATTCATTTTTTTCCTCTATTTTTATAATAGCAGCGGGGTTGTCTTTTTAAATGGCTGCCAAGCTCTGCTTCTCGGGAAGAAGGATGCGGTCACGCAGGCCTGAGCGGCGTCTCCCACCTGCGGGTGGGAGGAGCGTGCAGGCGGAGTTGAGGAGGTGGCTGGAGTGAGCGGAGCACCGGGGGAGGGCGCCACCATGTGATCGGTTACGGGATTGCGCGCAGTCCCCTGGAGAGGCGACAAGAATCTTGCTGCCCTTTCTGTGATGAATTTGCGTCTCACCCAGAGACACCTCTTTCTCCCCACTCTACCAGGGGGTTTCATCCTATCGCTCCTGGCCACACACGCACAGAGGTGGGTACAAGTTCCACTGGAGGAGAAAAGGCAAGGATGGATATTTTTTTCCTGGCAGGAGGCCTTGATATCCAGATGATAAATAAGCTCAAAATACCACTTACGGGGGATTGCTCGCAGGAAGCCGAGCCTAGCCCCCCCAAGGTTCGATCACCCACCGCCGAGGAAAAGGAGGAGAGGAGCAAGGTCTAGCAACAGTGTATAAACGGTCAGTCAGCAAGTGGCAGAGAGAGCTGCGGGGAGACGTTGCAGGTGAGCCGTGGGAGATGATGTGGGAAAGGTCGACTTCAGGATGGACAAGAAGGTTCTATCACAGACACCAGGGAGTTGCCGTGTTGTGGGCTGATTTATCTACCTACACGGAAGGGAGACAGAACGACTCCTTACATGGTGAGAGATTAACAAACTATGCTACCACAAAGTAATAGCTCTATTTCTTAAGGGCGAGAGAGACTATGTTTCAGAATTTGATGCAATGGAGGGTATTAGAGAAAATCCATGAGGAGCTGTAGTCTGCGCTGGAAAATTGGGTTGTGTAAATGATGGTGTGCCAGCTCGGCCAGAGGCGAGATCAGGGAGATGGTAGGGGGCCTGTTTACTGAATGGGTGAGTCTGGTACCATTTTTTTGTTTGTTTTAGCAAAGTCAGAGTTGAAATTTAAGACATCAGACCATGAAAATCACTGCATTTTCTTAGAGTTATTTTTTTAAAAAAATAAGTTAATGAAGTAAATATACATTTACAAGGCCTTAATGAAATCCAAGCAGCTTTCTTCTACCTTCAAGATTAAAAATATACACCCAACCCAACCTTGGATGTTGTGAGGCTTGTGAAATCCTTTTAAGGTCTAAAATGTGGGAACATCTTAGCCACAGAGAGCCTTTAGCAAGCAAAGAAGGCTTGAATCCACAACATCCTGCATTGCATTAGGAAAAAAAGCTCTCCTTGGGTGATGACTATGTTCTAAAGATGCAAATTCATGTGCAGAAAGAGGCAGCATTTTGTAGTTGATTTTTTTTTTTAACCAAGTGCCATTAACATTCATCCTCCACATCCCTTTTCTAAGCAAGCTTAGGGTTACTTGGGGAATGTGTTGGGATGGACGATCATGTGTGAGCCGGGAAGAACAGGTCAAAGATGTCGAAGGCCAAAGGCAAGACCCAGACGGTTTGCGAAGGTGATTTTGGATGCTGAGAACGTTAATAGGAGAAGCAGGGGTATAACACATCTCGTGGAGAAGTGAGAAAGCATTCAAATCTGCTGCAAAACACATGTATCCATAAAGACTCGGGTTGTTCAGAAAACAGATTGTGAACACAATCACATTAGCATGAATCCTTTAAAAGGAAGAAGACCTTAAAGCATTTGCAAATCTGAATTTCTATTTATTCCTTCACTGAATATAGAAACAATGGTTATCTGATTATTAGAGATATTATTTTGGATATGTTACTTATTAACTTGCTATGGCTGGTAACCATGATAAAGTCTGTTATTAATAACAACATAATTCTTTTTTTTAAAAGAAAAGCTTATTTTTCATTGACTGTGTATAGATTTATCTACTTAGTTGTGTTTTGCTCTCAGTGTTTTAATTTTTTTAAGTTGAGCGTTCTGATGAATTTTAGGAGCCTGTCCCCGCCGTGTTTTGAGTCCTGTGTTGACTGCAGGTGTACAACTCAATCTAAAAATCCTAAAGCAAAAGAACTTTATTTATAAAAAAAAAAAAATCAAATGGTTGCATGCATAAGGCTGTGAAGTCGGATATTTAGTAATAAAGCGGCAGTGCCTTTTTTTGTATTTACCCATTGACCCCCCAAATGCAACTGTTTTATATTAAGTAAATAGTAAACATTAAAAATCTCAGAGTAAAATCTATTTCACTACATGGGTTTTTTTCCCCCCCTCGTTCTGATTTAAGCAGTGTGTATTTGACATCTCTACACTGTCCCAGGGACAGTGGTATTCTACGATTATTGTTATCATGTATGATGTTTTATTGGTGCTTTTTATTCATAGTGGTTTCTTACCAGAAACAGTAGGAAGACACACATGAATTGTGTACAAGAAATGAAACATTGCTGCTGATATGTTTTGTTTTGTTTTGTTTTCCACATGCTTTTTGAGTTTCACTTTTTTAAACCAAGGGCCAGCAGGCAAAATAGATGCTGCTGGGTCTGCCTGCAGAGGGCGGCTGTTTGCACCAAGCTCTCCAGTCCTGTGTACTGACAGTCCGTTTTTGGTACTCAGGATTAGAGCTAGAGCTGGGCCCCCTCTCCCATTCCTTTGAAGAGACACTGAGGGAAACAAGGTTTTCTTTTGAGGTGTCGTCGGCTGCCTTTTGCGGAATGGGAGCCTTCTCTGGGTCTTCTGTTCTTCTGCCCCTCTCTCAGCTACTGCTGGTGCAAGGCTTGTAGATGTTCACTCCCTGCCCCCGGAACTCGGATCGTCCCGAGAGCCTGGGCTGGGGGCTGAGCTGGGTTGAAGATGTAGGCGCACAACCAGAAGGGCAGTGAGAGGGGGAGAGGCAGCCCCCATCACATTGGTCCTCTGGAAATGTCTTGGGCAGGCGGCCCCAACCCTGGTGCAGGAAAGCAGCCTAACCAAGGCATTCGGGTGTGCCTGATACAAGAAGGCCCTGTGAAGGGAAAATTTGCACATGGGGCTGTGATAACACTAACGTTGATTTTTTTGTTTGTTTTACAAGTCATCAGAGATGTTTGCAAAGTGAGTTTTATTCTTATTCTTATTTTTTTGTAATTCCTTTATCTTTACTTAAAGGTGAATGTGTATTCCTCTGGGAGGAATAGGAAGAAAACAGGAATGTTAATAATGTCAAACAGAAGACTTCCTCCCTTATTAATATATAACCCTCATGTATTTATGCCTAATGTAAGCTGACTTTTAAAAAGCTTTCTTTTGTTGCATGCCCCATGCAGGCATCCCTATTGTACATGCATGCCTTTTGTCCTGTTTTCCTGTATAAAGTTAGTGAACAAAGAACTATTTTTGCCTAGTTCATGTTGCCAAGCAATGCATATTTTTTAAATTTGTCATATATGGAAATAGCATGTTTGTTACATGTAAAAGCTTTACTGATATACAGATATACTAATGTTTGAAGATGCTGTTCTTTGCAAGTGTACAGTTTTCAAATGTTGTTACCAGTGAAACACCCTTGTGGTTTAAACTTGCTACAATGTATTTATTACTCATTTCCTCCCATGTAACTAAGAATCATGGCTATATTTCATATCAACGTTATATTGAAAGTGAAGGGAAATGATTAATACAAGGTTTTGTAACACTGGTGTGTGTCTTTTTTTCCTTTTTTGTCAATACGATTGATTAAAAAATAAGAACTGAATAAGCCAGCCAGGAAGAATAAGCCTGACATCGTGTAAACTATTCCCACCTGACAATTCTGTGAAAGCTGTATCTTCCAACTATGAACTACGTTTTTTTGTGTTTTTTTTTTAAACAAAAAGGTAGGGAAAGAGGTGTTAAACATTTATACAGCTTGATCTGTGCCCAGAGTAACCAAAACATGTATCACCTGTCTTAGGGGCGTGTTTCTAAATAAAAACTCGAACCTTGCAGGTGGTATTGTTTATAGCTTGCTCTCCACCTTCAATGCCTTTGAAATCACATTTTACCCCTTAACCACAGCATAAACAATAACCTTGGAGATCTGAGGTTTTAACTACACATGGCTTAAATCTCATTTTAATCCTTCCAGTATAATGTATATTAATATAAGGTCTAAATAATGAGTCAGTTAAGCATATGGTTGGAGAGACAAACCTGGGTTTGAATTCTTGCTTCAGCAAAGTGAGTTTTATTTTTTCTAATTCCTCTCAGTTCAATTCAGTCAGTCAGTCATGTCTGACTATGCAACCCCATGGATAGCAGCACCCCAGGCTTCCCAACTCCTGGAGCTTGCT